AAATAACAAACTCGGTACTCACCAGACGTTTTATTGCTCATCGGTGCGATGGCGGTGAAGCATTAATAATTATGCAAATGCGACGGTCAAGAAAAAAGTGTTGTTGTGATGCTCGCTTTTAAAACGCGATTTGTTCCGGGCTATAAACAAATATATGCGATAAGCCGCAAAAGAGGCCCGTTCAGGCGAAAAATTAACCAAGTGAAAGGGCATTTAAATTAAACGACAACTTTTCTCAATCATGCGGGTGAATGCGAGTTTTATGGACCACATTTTCAATTAAACCAGATAATATTGAATGAAAATATTAAACCCCATTTGAATGTTTGTAATTTTTTTTAAACTGTAGTCTTATAGTGCAATTACATTGAACAACATTTCAATTAAATTATACAATGCACTCCAATTAAACTCTTTAAAATATTCACACAAACATTGAATATATGTTATACATTTTAACCATTTTATAATTTCCAACCACTTACAATTAGAGCGGCAATGTTTTTTATCTAATAACGTGTATCAATGCACACATAATTGTTCTCTAATTATATTTAAGATCTTTAACCATCGATCCTCGTTTTTTCCTAACACCGTACGGACGTTTTTTAACAACGTTCAAGGCACGCACAAGTTCTGTTTTTCCACTAGATTATCCTGTATCTCGTCGATAATCTCACTCGAATATATTCTTCGATCCTATCTTGTAATAACAAGGTAGGATGCTATCTCTCTAACTTGGGACTTGGTGAACGCCCTTTTTTAGACCCTTCTCGGGCCGACTAACAGAAAAATTATGCTCGCACTGGCCATTAAAAATTGCATACCGATAAAATGCAAATGAGGTCCCATCTATTAGAAGATTTATTTTTTTATGCATCCTATATAACCACTAACACAAATCATAATGTGTTAAATAAATAACTGTGTTTTAGTGTATTATTTTTTAATTAATTTGGAGTAATAATAATGCGACAATTAGTTTTAAAGTCCATTTAGAAAAATTACGATCCATTGTTGTGTTCATGTGCACCGAAATCCCCAGGACAATCATAAACAGGGCTCGATTAAAAAACATTTTCATAATTAATAACTTTATTTCGTACGCTTTTATAACTACAAATGCATTCTTTAGGTAAATAATTTATACATACATGCACATGCGAACAATACACAACTAAGTCAATATAGTACAATATCGGAATTATATTTACATTTGTAATTATATGCTAAAATAGCTATAGACAGAAAACATGAAATGAGCGTATAGGGGAACTTTATGCTTTAATTTTCCTGTTTATATGTATTTGTAAATTCATTAATTCCAAAATAAATATCCTGTTTGCAATGAGTTGCATAATTATGTAGGTATATAGGTACTAATTTTTAATTAAGCGTACCCATATTTGCATTTTTACAAATTGGTAAGTACTACTTTTGTAGTAATATTGCCAACCATTTACAAATAGTTATTATATCTTTTCCGCTCATTTGGTATTGAGCAACTTAATTGATATATGTATCTATAATAAACAATAATGTATTATATACTTAAGCTGCAAAGGAATTAAGCGAAATCTCTAATACGAGATAAATATTTTGGAATTGTTTTAAATTATGAGCTATTTTACTTAATGAATATTATCACATTTATTTAAGTCTAACAATATATTATTTACATATCGCATCGAGGAACTATATCTTTTCATTCTTTCATATTTACAGTGTGAATAATATATTTCGTTTCTAACAAGTGTGGATGAAAACCCTTTCTTTTTAAACATTACAGGCAATTATTGCGAATGTCTTTTCGATTCCTAATGAATTTGAGTTCAGTATTTCGATATACTAATATTGAGGAATAATAAATATACATCAATATTTCAAAACATTTAACGATATTTATAGCTTTGTAGTCTACATATAAATTTTTTATAACATCTATGTGTTTTAGGAAAACATAAATTCACAAATTAAATGTTAATATTTTTGTTGAATTCGGTAGCTTAAAAAATAATTGTCATATACTTTGAGAATGTACAATTTATATTACTTTGATCATTAGGCACATTTTAAACCGTGAAACAAATCTATTATCAGCACAAAAATTATTAAGAGGTGGTCTGGAAGTTCAAATTGGAAGCGATTTTCAATTTACATAATAAATACATTCGTGATTGGAATGATTTTAAATTCACGAATAGACACAGACGAATTAATTCAGTAAAAATTAATAAATATTCATAGAATTCGCGCACTCAGCTGGCCGAAATGAAAGACCCAAGCCATCGCCATCGGGTGTTTATCGCAAATTATACCATACCGGTCGAGTTAAAAGTTAAAAAAAGGAGCAATTATATTCAAAAAGTCCACAATTTGTAACCCTCATATATACAAAATTATGTTTGGTGTAATTATGCCCACATTAATTTATGAGTTTATTTAAGCAATTAATATAAATTTGATGGCTGAATTTTATTATAAGTACACTAATGATTATTTATAGTTTGTTTAAATAATAGGTATTTGAGTTAATTAAAATATTTAAATAAACATATGTAGGTACCTAACCTGTTGGTTAACAAAATTCAAGCAAAGAATAATTGTTTATTTATTGAAAATTGTTCGTAGGTTAATCATGCTGGTAAGAATAAATATAGTTAACTGTAGATAATGTTTAATGATGTAAATAGATGCAATAACGACTTCTATAGTTATTATAATAGAAAATGACTTTAATATCGCCGTAACTGTTTCGGAAAATTGAACACAATAATGGATCCACATAATGGATGAACTGCACAAAACCAGCAGATGAAGAGCGAAGATGGTTATTTAATGTTTTTTGAAAACATTATGTAGGCTATTTATGAAGTTCTTTGATATTTTTTATTATACTATTACACATTTTTTTCTATATGCATTTTGTTTGGGCCGATATAAGCCAGGATTAACATTTTTCTTCATGATATAAGAATGTCAAAGATCAACTAAGAAAAAACAAATATTATTGTAAGTTTCTCTGAAATATTTTATGTTAATTAGGTGCATTCAGTTTTATTGACTTAAGCCTGATTCCTTATTTGACGAGCTGTTTTGTAATGTTAATGTAAATGAAAAAAATGTTACTTTAGTCATTTTCGAGTTATTACAATCGTAAAATAGTCGCTAATGATGGGTAATTAACAGTTGACAGAAAAAATGAATGTGTAGATAATACGAAGAATTCATGAATAAAATTAAGAATTTTTGAATATTTTACTTTTCATTTATTTTGCAGAAATGGTTTTGGAGTTAGAGCTACCGTCGCGTCGGTCGTTTTGAAAACCTGCTTGATTCAAGAACCTGGCTGCAAAAATTATAAAAGGCTGATGACTTTTATACATTGGTGCATGTAAACTATTTTTTATATACTTTGTTTAAACAACCTATAAATATCTTAATGTGAGCATTTAAATTATCATTTCATGGACCAAACAATAAATAATTCAGTTATGAATCGCCTCCTAATGATTCTGAAGTCTTCCATAAATCAATTCAATTTTTTCCGCCAGTTTTTTTAGTTTATTATTATGTTATTAATTTATTGCTAAATTTTATAACAAGCTATGTTTTATTTAATTGACTAATAGTTAATTGTTATCGTAGAACTACTAGAACAATACTTGTTAATTACATCAAAATTTGTTATTTATGGTTGTTAGTTTTGTCTGATTTATGGGTGAGTAATCAACGTGTAAAATATTTCCATTTTTTTATAGTTTTTGAAGCGGGTTCAATTATTTTCTTTTAAACAAATACAAATTTGTTTTTACCTAAAAATAATTAATTATACATGATTGTTTTGAAATTTAATAATGAGGGTTTTGATATTTTTTCAATATTTGCTTGAACAAAAACATCAAATGGGTATACAGATTGCTCCATTTTTCATTGCAACATAGGCTACGGGTGCAACAAAGACAACTTTAATTAGACACTTATAAAGGAAAAAGAAAAAGTGATATCATGTCACTGCAACTTTTCACTCTGACAACTGGTATTTTAATAATCTTTCTTTGTTCAACTCATAGATATGCCCATGTTGCAATCGCAAATGAAGCAAGGTGTACATGTACCTAGCTAAATTTTGTATAAGTAGAAAGAAATGCCAGTGAGATAGTATACCTATAGGTATATTTACTTTTTTTTTAAACAAGACCAATTGCAGCAGTATGGTGCATATAATAAACAACATCAATAATATTATAAACAGAAAAATTCACCCATGAAACTCTCTATTATAGGTTTACTTATACCATAGGTACCTATTTTGAATGTTTGAATAGTTAAAATATAGTTTTACAAAAGAAATGTTGAAGGTAGAGAATGGTATAGTGATTTATGTGGGTTTATTAGATATTTAGTTATTCCTTTTATAATAACAAATTCAAACATTTGTTAAAGGTATAATAGTATTTCTTCGATATACATCATGTTTCATTACATGTATCGCATGCAAATAATGCACTATCATTTTTAAAAAAATTGAAAATGATTTATTACTGATGTTGTACGTTTTTGGGTTTTAAACTGCATGAATAATTCAATCAAATAAGCATCAACTTTCCTAATTTGTATAAACCGCATTTACAAATTCGAACCTCCTTAAAACCAAAAGTAATTGACCGTTACCGAACATTTTACTTATCATTTCTTAATATTGCACATTCTCCAGTATATTCAGTTATTTTTTAAGCGATTTTTGAAGAAATAAATCTGTCTATGATGCATGGAAACAATTTCGTCAATTTCGCGTTATTCATAATAAATACCAACAAATAAATACTTAAACAAAAATAATAATAAAATCACAACAAAAAGTACGTACTTTTCCAACAGTAAACTCAGTCTTAACATCCCCAAAAATAGTCTCGCATCGGCGTCGTCGCCGCAGAGCCTCCTCCATCGCCTCCACAAAAGTCTCGACGAAAAAAAACCATCAAAAAAATCACATTTACAACTGCGAAACCCTGAACAACTCCTCGGCCGACGCCAGCCCGTAGGCCTCGTAGTGAGCGGCCGCCGGCTGCATCAGCGCCATGGGGTTCGCGAACGCCAAATCGTAGCAGGACGTCGTCAGCATCCACGGATGGACGTGGGGCACCGCGTGCAGCGTCGGGCCGGGCGCGACCGGCGCCGGCTTGTCCGGCGATATCAGGCTCTCGATGGTGAAGCTGCGCTTCGGCCGGATGCACGTCACCGCCGCGTCCGGCAGCTTGGCGGCGCCCGGCGGCGACGGATGCGGCGCCGCCGCCGCCGCTGCCGCCTGCCCTGGCGGCGGCCCTTCGGGGGTCGGCGGCGCGAAGAATATCCGGTTGATGTTGGTCAACGCCGCCAGTTCGCTCTCCAATATCTCCTTGTCGCTTTTGAGGAGTTTAAAGCGCTTCCGGCGCCGCAGGAGCGAGCCGTTGACGAACATGTCGAAGGCGGCCGGGTGGAGGGCCCAGTAGGCCCCTTTGCCCGGCCGGTCCGGCTGTCGGGGGATTTTTATGAAGCAATCGTTGAAGGATAGATTGTGCCGCAGGGAGTTCTGCCACCTTTGGGTGTTTTTCCTGTAGTACGGGAACCTGTCGGTGATGAACTTGTAGATTTCCGATAGGGGTAGCATTTTTTCCGGGGAATTCCATATGGCCATTGCTGTTAACGATATGTAGGAATAGGGAGGCTTTTGGTCGCCGTAAGAGTCCCTCGATGGCCTGGGCATGTTGGTATATTTATATCACTTTTAAACAGAAACGCACTGAACAAACACACCAACTGTTGTGCTATCAGCTAAACAACTGTTTGGACTGATGTCTTCAAACATGCAGGAGGAATAAAATGGAGGTAACCGCCCAGCTGGTCGGGTATTGGTCGGGGGCTAACAATGGCATTTCTTGGCCGGCCTACTCTTTATTAGTTGCCAAGCCAATTGGTGAGGAGATCGGCCGGCCAATGGCAGGGTGCCCTTCGCTGTTAATAATAAATTGCTTTATTTGAGTAAGATTCATTTATTATGGCTGGTGTAGTTGGACGAAATTTATGTTATGTTATCATTTCGGTTTGGTAAACACCGTTATGCTTAGCACAAAAGTCGTTATATTTTATTGAATATGTTTTATGGGCGAGGTACGGTTTGTTAGACCGTTAATTAAAATGTAAATTATCGTTTTGTTTCTGGATTTGTTATGTATAGATATGGGGATAATTTATTGGGACGTTTCTGAATTAATATAATTGATGAATAGGGTGTTTAAATTGTGGTGAAAAAATTCAGGAGTTGTAGAAAAAATAACAACATTTTTGCAAAATAAGCAAGAAATATACACACTCAATAATGTTTTGCATATTACATATGAAGTTGAAATGCCACTGGCCATTTATTATTTGAAATGTTTTTTGTTTTAAATTGTTTTTATCCATATTATGATTTCTCATGCATTGAAACACCTGATGTCTTCAAATTTTCACTTCTGTACATCCAAAATCTTTCAAACTGCCGCGAAAAATCTTTTTTTTTTTATTTCAACTTTGACACTGTATATTTTTTATTTTCAATATTTTACTAAAGCAAGTTGGGTCAGATCGTAATATTTCGAGGCCCAGAATTTTCCCCTTCACTTTTAGACCATTATTTAGGGATATTTTAGGGATCACCCTGTAAACATAAACACTCTCATAAATGTTTTGCATAAAATAATAAACATTTAATTATATGTAAAATTACTCATCAAAATTAATTTTCAAAAGGCATAAAAATCATTTAAAATTAACAATAAAAACTGTGAAATATGATGGTCTACTTATTTAAAAACGAATTAAAATATTGGCATTTCTAGTGGATTTGACATCAGCATCATTAGCCTTCTATAGAATTTTAGGTTTATTTTAAAATGACATTTAAGTTTTTGTCATATTTTTAGGTTCTCTACTTGCTCCCAAAGTTTGACCACCTATTTCAGAAACACCCTGTAAAATAGCACAAAATACTTCCTCGTTATTTAAGAAATCTCAAAAAAAAATTAGAGCAAGCATAAAGAAAGTATAATTCCCAATAATGTATATCCCAACATCTTTCACCATCTTAAAACGACTATATTTACGATATAAATCGACTTCAACATTAAACGCACTTTACTCACAAAATGATGAATATTTTATTAAAAACTACACCATTTAAGCGAGCATATCAAGCCCCAGAGACTTTCTCTTCCATAAAAACGTTTTGTTACGCTTATGAACGTCCGCTTTAAATTTAAAACACAAAGTAGGCACACACATTATTGCCACGAAAATTTCATGGAAATTAATTTCATTGATACATATTCGAGGAGCGGTCGAATTTATAAAAAAAAAGAAAGGCGCTTTTTACTCGCCATACATCGACAGTCGAAAGATTGATGTTCCTCGTAATTTCGCCTTTTTATTAAACGAATAAGTAATTTTCTCGTTTACGATTATTAATTTCTAGAATCATCGACTGGTTAAAGACGTCAAATTGCCCGTCGTGAAGCCCAAGCCCGCTAAATCTTTCTATATTTTGAATAATTATATTAATCGAATCGGAAATTCGTCGCAACTCAACGAGAAGTGCGTTTTTTGATCGTGCATTGGCAGGGAGAAATTACCCACTTTTTTTAATGATAATGAGGATTATTTTTAAGGGTAATGAGAGCGTTAATGCTTCTGGTTTAAAGCCACTTATTCGGTAAGTTAATGTTGGTTAAGTAGCATTAAAGACTCTATATACAGTAGTACAGAGATTTAATTAAAAAATATATTTACTGGTTTCTTTAACATTAATCAAGAAGCAGAGGCGTACTCAATATTTTGAGTAATTTGATCAATGTTACATTTGATGAGGTATACAAAGTAAAGAATATAAAGAGCAACTCGAAATTAGATTATATTCACAATCTAAGAACTTTTCGCTAAACAACCCAACCCGATGAATTTTATTTTATACTCCAATAGTCAACAGCTTTCTGTACCTACCCAGCAATTATCCCTATCGAGCACTTATTTTCTAATCATCACGTTGTAAACAGAACTTTATTGCGTCGACTAATTAAATGTTTTATTCTTTATTGCGCGGCGTGTCTAATTTGTCTTGCGTTTAGGAATTCGAGGAACGTTTATTAAGTTTTTGCAACACATCTAACTCCGCGAGTTAGTGTCTACTTAAGCGAAGAGGTGGGTCTGAATTAATGGGACGGTAATGAAAGGGGACTTATTTTATACGGTGGATTAATTTAATGGTTTCCGATAGGTCGGAGTGGATTTCGCATTTAAACGGGCATCATATTTAGAATTTTGAAATTTTCTATTATGTATAAAATTCTATCGGGAGCAGCAGTTTGTAGATAAATATTTATAAAAATTTACTTAATGGAAAGTAATGGTATAAAATGCGATGTTTAAAGGAGATTATTAGATTAATTGTATATTAACAACGAGTTTACCTAAAGATTTTATCGCTGAAAATACTGTAATGAATCCGATTTCTTTTATACAATACGCTTTTATTTAATAAACTGCTGCAATTTAAAAACTCGATCGACTTTATTTTTCATATATTTATATAGAAAGTTAAACAATTAATGGAAAACATGATACTACTTTTAATCTTCAGATCTCTATAAGGTAGAATGTGCTTATTTTTTATGGTAGCTTTTATGAAGCAAATACAGGGTGTAAAATGCTAAACACATTTTTTTATAAAGAGATACATATATCATATTTTAGTCCGGAAATATAAAAAAATACAATATAGGTTAAAATATTTTCCCTCTTTTCAGCACCCCTCTTGTGGCAACCCTCAAATTTTTATGTAAAAAATTGGGGTTAGTAATAGGGTAGTGAATAATTTTAAATAGTTACCTATCAACCTAATAGGAAATATTTATTTAGTGAATGTGATCATGTTTCAGAAACAACAGTTCTTTTGGAAAAATAAAGTAAAAGTTATGTGAAAATATATGATAAGCAACCCTGTATCTACTCGCTTTTTAAAAAGGCGTAATTAAAACTGATATATCGTATATTACACGAAGCATTTTTATGAAAGAAAATAACAAATAATTATAGCCGGAATCGAGTAATTCCACACCGTTTTCACATAAAGTTGTAATTTAATGTATCCTTATATATTAATTGGGCAAATACTACTATTTCAATAAAATTCCAATTAAAACAATTTCGTTTAATTATCCTCTATTAGAAATTGCCTTAATTGCGCGTTTTCAAAACGGTTTCTAATGTTCCTTTCTACATGCCATCAAAACTGTTATAGGTAATATTATACCTAATACTGAATATTTCAGCTCGAACGAATAAAATGAAAATGAGAATTTTCATTTAATAATAATTACACTTTATTTTAATTATTATAAATGATAATAATATATTATCATATTAAATATTATAAATGATTTAAACAGCAGATATTCTAGGACACCCTTATTTACATAAATGTTTTGTGATTCGTTTCCAGTATGAGAACCTGAGTGGTTAATATTTATTTGCAATTATAGAAAGTAGCATTTTATTGGATATATTTTTTAAAAATCGTTTACGTTCCGGCTCTTCTATTTCTTAAACGACTCGACACCATTTGGTTTAATCCTCGAAAATGTAATTTTATGCCTGCAATAACTGTACATCTAAAGACATTTACGATTTAGTTCGAAATGAATTAACTTCACGGTCTATTAGTCTATGAAACATTCGTTCCTCTAATATAATATGAAAAATTTTCAATTAATTCAATAAGGTTTATAGCATTTTCGTCGCCGATATAGCGCGCATCCTATTAAGAATTAAGTAGCTTCACGAGATTTTATGCGTCTAATCTTGATTGGGATTTCAGTATAATAACCATTTTCTAAAATGTAAATTTACAATTTTATGTTCGATTAGTGGCTTTGATCAATTCCGCTTTATATTTATACCGGCATATATTACCGACTATTATACTATACAGAGATAATATAAAACTGATTAGAATTTTATATAGGCGCACAGAGTGGATATAAAGATGTCTTGAATTATTACAGTTATGGTTAATTAATATTTTTCTGTAAATATTTGCAAAACGTTTTCGTTTATTTTATCACGAGAAACCGGTGGAAGGCGAAGCTAATTAACTGTTTTTCATGCACATATATTGACTATAAATTAATGACATTTTTTTAAAATGTATATAAATTTATGCAACTAATTAAAGCTCTCATTTTTTTTGTTTTTTTTACAAAAAATGTTAACACAGAAATAGATTATTTGCTGTAATTCATGTAATAAATAGTTCTATCTGCGTTAAAGAAAATAACTATTTACTTCCTTTAGGAAGAAAATCGTCATGACCGGCTGACATTGCGCATATTTTTAATTAATTTCAGAATTTATGAGGTTTTAACGTTTATTGCTTTTATCTAAACTAGAATCGGCTATTAAATCACCAATTACGGGTTAATTACAGATTATTTTTTTCGCTATATTGCCGTGTGTTTCATGGGTAAGTAAGTAATCATTTTGTTATAAACAAAGAACAATAAACGAACAATGTGTACTTATTTACTAGAATTGATAGAAGGGACGATAAAGAATGATGTAGGAAAAGCTTTGAGAGGGTTAAAATTTTAAAACAAGACGGAAATCTACAAGAGGATCAATCTAGAACTCCTATTTATAGATTTATTTATTATTGCTGATATTTTTAGATATTGATAATATTATGTATTTACATTGATCAATTAAGTAGTCGAGTACTGGTAGTATTGGTTTATAAAAGGAATAAATCGGTATCTACAAATTAGGAATGTGTAGCATAGAATATAAATTAAAAAAGTACCTACAGCGACATCTATACGACTTGCTTTAACAAAACTTTGAGGTACTTTGAGGTACCTATACATAAAGTACTCAAGTACAGATTTCTTCTTTTTACTTCTCTAAATTTAATGGTTAGGCAACCAAGTTTACAAACTTGACGAATACTTTTACTAGTATAATTAAAAAAATCCATTAAAAATTTATTTATGAAATATTTATGCATATCGTGTTTAAATAATCTTAGTTGAATAAAATAAATACGATGTATTAGAAAAGTGAGATCCAACTTATCAATAATTAATAATCAATAATTAGAGTAGGGAGTTGAAAGAAGCATAATGAACTTTCTTGACGAATTTATTTATTTTTTAACTTTTTTAGATTTTTTTACATAACAATTAATTATTGGCCAACAATAACCTTTTTAGTAAATTAAACATATCTACTGTTTTAAGTAACTTTTTATTGAATATTCTTACATTTATAAATGGGCGTAGGTCCTGGAACTAGAGCCTTTTAGTAAATATAATAGCAGCTTAGTTTTATTCAGTAAATTATAAGCAAACATATCAAATATCTAATTTTTTTATTTATTTCATACAAAATTCTAACTGTAAATTTTGAATTCAAATTATTTTTCTCCTTACCTAAGCGACTGTTATACATAAACGAGTTAATACTCTTTTACAAAAACTTTGATTCACAGGACCAAAAAAAAATTAAATTAATGGCACCTACACAGCTATGCAGTAAAATTAAAAAATGAGACTTAACTATCTACCTAAAATTAATCTAAAATAAATTAGTTTTGTTACATCACATTTTTTGATTACAACATTAGGTACACGCAGCAAAATTTGAATCTCTGCTTTCATAAAAATAATTCCAAATATTTATTTATAAATAAAAAAGCGATCAGACAAAGGAATAATGTAACAAATAATATTTAATGCAATGTGTAAAGCTAAGTATGGCAGTTTTAAAATTAACGAATTAAAGCCCTATTAAATCAAAATTTCTTTTCAACGTTCGTTCGGTGTAATAACTTCTAGTTTCTTTCGAAACTTTTGGCACTTCTGTTGGCAAGATCAAAACATTTCGAAGCAATGACGAATCCATGAATTTTTCTTCACTCGTTCAACTTTTGATGTAACAAACATGACTAGAGATTTCTAATTATTTTCCATCACTATAATTTTAAGTCAAATGCGCTCTCTGAATTTGTCACTGCTTTAGGCAATCTTCTTTAATATGGCCTCGGGTCATACGGCGGTGCATTAAATCCTACATATCTATTATTCTTTCTATGTTGGAATCCAGTTCCAGGCGAAGCATTGTAATAAATAACTCTTCTAATTCCGAACGGGTCGATGTATCCGAAACTACCAGACCTCTTATCACCCGGTAAAGTTTGCTCCTCGTGGTAAGCCCTAGGAATATAGTACCTAAACCCATCGTTAGTAACCGATACCCCATCGTACGTTTTAGCCTTAGGCACCTGCCCAATGTAAGGACGACCGTTCTTATCCAAAGGATAAGTAGGACCGTTCTGGAACCTATAATTATTCTGCACGTGACGCACGTAAGGATTATACTCCAACGAATTGTGGTCCACCTCCTGGGAACCACCGAAATCCGACGGTGAATACAACGGAGCGATGGTTGTTGAAAAAGTACCATCGCTGTAGTAAGTTTTCGCGGAGACTGTCGATTGCAGGTGGTTGCCAGCCAAGTAGGTGACGTTCCGCAGCGGCGCTATCTTCACCTCCTCGTAAGGGGACCCCAGGAAAGAGTTCGGTGTGATCTCCACGACGCCCGAATTGGGCGGTTCCGTCGGTATGACAATCCTGAACGGGGTCGAAGAGTCGATTGAATTCGGCGAGACGTCCACCAGCGGAGAAACTGTGCTTGACGTGGGGTATGGCGAACTGCTAGGCAAGTAAGTACTCGAAGGGATTGTAGGAGTGGTACTGGGAAGGTAAGATGCAGCGGGTGATGCGGTTGTGCTGGGAAGGTAGCTTGATATAGGAGTGTTTTGTGCTAGAGGTGAAGCAGTGGTACTGGGGATGTAACTGTAACTTGGTAAAGGCGAAGGGGTACTACTTGGTATGTAACTATAGCTTGGTATAGGTGATGGAGTACTACTTGGTAGGTAATTATAGGAGGGATGTGCATTGTATGGGACATTTAGAACTGGTCTTGAATTCACTAAAGTTCCGGAATCGGCTGGATATTTTTTGGCGGTTTTCACAGCATCGCCGACGTTGATGTTCCTTCCGACAAATACATTTTTGTTCTTGAGTATCCTATAGCCCGCGTTATCTGCGATGTAATCGCGCTGTCTTAATACACCTGGAAAATAAATAAATGAATTAATTACTCAGTGATTCGATCTGAGAGCAAATGGTGAGACTTTTTATAAGAAAAGTGAAATTACCGTCGGCATCAATCCATGCGTATGTACCAACAACTGTGCCATCTTCGAGTCGTTTTTCTTTTCGATATTGACCACTATCTGTTTGATATCGGAAATATCGTTCGGGACCTTCGTCGGTTTGAATGTGATATTGGTGCGGTGAAGGAGTCTCCCATGCTGTTCGTCTCGGTATGAATATTGAACAGACTACCTGAAATAATAATAATAAAAATAAAATTAAGTAATTATCTTCATTTTCAAGGGAATTAGGGCTCAGAATTAATCAATTAGTTGACCTATCAGTATTCAATACACCATACGACCTAAATTCAAAACGACTTATATAATAGATAATAAAAAAGATTTCCACTTTCAAAAAGAAGCGTACTGCTTTTATTATATCTCTACTAATTTTTTATAAAAAAAGATAAATTTACCTTAACCCATTAAAACTACCTTTGATGAGCAAATATAGTAAGAGAGTACCTATGTATGTATCTCAGTATCCTCATTCAGAATTTTTAATGCGGGTTTTATTAATAATATATTAGCCTTGTGTTGATGAATATTTGCTCATAATTTTTATTAAATAAAATTGCGTGTCAGAGCACCAATTATCCTTTCCTGTTCGAAGCGTTTTTTTCATTAAGAACCGAATGAATTATTTCCTTCCACAAAAGTTGTTTTCATTAACCGAACAAAATAAATGAAGAATGGCCATCACATACAAATTAACGTTAATCGTACTTAATTAAAAGGAAACGTTTAGTAATTATTTTAATTTACAATAAACTTTCGATAAATATCTTTGATTGTGTTCGAATCGTTAATGGGATTTCTTTAACATATATCTAGTATTCTTATTAATTCAATGTGTTGAAATAATCGTCAGAAACATTATTTTTCAGTGAATTATTATTAGGTATTACGTGTGTTAATTTATTTATTGGGCAAAATCAAAATTGATTTTTTCAAAAATCACAAATGACAGTTCTGATAAATGACTTTTGTTGAACTGCTTAGCCGAAGCAGTATAGGACAAATTTAAAAAAAAATAGAAGAAATTAAATTATTTAAAAAACGTAAAAAACGTACAAACAACAATTATTATGGTAAATATTTCAATAACACCGTCATAAGCTTGCTACAATACTATATTTAAGCTATCTACTCGTTAATTACGAAATAATAATTTAAATAATGTTGTCATTGGTTGTCAAACTGGTTGTCATATATAGAGAACATTTACAATTTTTAAGCAACATCTGGTCTTCTCTGGAAATAATAAATTTTGACATTTCCTGCAAACTGTCAATTTAATTTTTTCCTTATTGTTCAAAAACCTTTTTTCTTGTGGTTCAAGTAGATCGACGAAAAAATGTGGTCGAGAAACCTGAGAACGGCCCAACTACAAAAGAAACTAATCTACGCGCAAAAAATCAATTTCTACCGCTCGACGGAAACCCCCGCTCAGTCGGTATCCGAAGACGCCCCCGTCCCGGCAGAAGCGGACGCGAAGGTGGAAAAAGAAATAAAAGCCAACCCGTTTTTATCGAAAAAACCGGCCACCAAAGGTGAAACGGTGCCCTTCGACGATATCCCCGGCCCGATCAGCCTGCGGCTCATTTCCAAGTTCTGGGGCATGATCCCCATGATGGGCACCGAAATAACCGTAAGCGTAGTGCAATACCTGCTTAGCGGCGGCAAATTCTTCGGCGGGATCCTGTCGTGGGGCGGAAACGCGCCGTTTTTCAAGAAATTTTTTGACGTTTACGGCCCCGTTGTCAGACTGCACGGCGCCTTCGGCAGCGACGTGGTGCTCCTCTCCCGACCGGAGCACGCCTCCGCCATTTTCCAAACCGAAGGCCCGTACCCCATCCGGTCTTGCCTGGAGTCGCTGGAGAAGTACCGCCTGCAGTGCAGGAAGTACCGGCAAGCCGGACCCTTTCTCACCTACGGCACCGAATGGGAGGCCCTCAGGAAGTCCATCGAGCAGCCGCTGCAATCCTGCATTGAATTGCAATTCGACGAAATCGAGAAGATCAACGAGAGCTTCCTCGATCGAATGTACTCCATTCGCAACAAACAGGAGGAGATGCCTAATAATTTTAAGACCGAAATCAACAAATGGGTGCTGGAGTGCCTTTGCTCGGTGACTCTCAACAGAACCCTCGGGTTTCTGGTACCCACTGGACTAATTCCCTCGTCGGATCCCGGTCGACTTTTGAACGGTTTATTCGGAGCCACCAACGCCATAAGGAAATTAGAGTACGGCTTCCACCTGTGGAAATTCATAGAAACCCCCGCCTGGAAAAGCTTGGTGAAAAACTGCGATATGATGGAGAGCGTGCTGCGCAAATACATCGACATATCCAAGCAGCACTTGCAGGAGAAGAAGATGCGCAACAGCCCATTGGATAAGGTGACTTTAATGGAGCATCTCCTCCTCAAGGAGAACATAATCGAAGACGATATCATGACGATAATGCTCGATTTGTTCCTGATCGGCGCCAACGCCACGGCTCACACGGTCTCCTTCTTCTTCTACAACCTGGCGAGGAACCCGCGCTGCCAGATCCAGCTCTACGACGAGATCAAAGACTCGGACGTGTCCAGCACGCCGGAGAAGCTGAAGGAGTACGCCTACCTGCAGGCCTGCCTCAAGGAGACGCTGCGCCTGGACCCGCCGATTCCCATCCTGAGCCGGGTGCTGAGCAACGACGTGATCATCAATCACTATCGCGTGCCGAAGGGCACCCACGTGCTGTTCGCGGCGCACATGAACAACATGCGGCAGGAGTACTTCGAGGACGCGGAGAAATTCAAGCCGCAACGGTGGTTGAACAACTACGAGGGAGGCTTCGGCAACGAGTTTCAGCACTTCGCTTCGATGCCGTTCGGCTACGGGCCGCGGAGTTGCCTGGCTAAAGAGATGGCCGAAACGGCCATCGCCTCGCTGATTGTTACCATTTGCAAGCGGTTTAGAATCGAGTATAATTACGGGGATATTAAGAGCTCGAACGAGCTGATGGCGTCGCCGACTAAGCCGTTAAAATTCAGATTTATCGATAGAATTTAGATTGGTTGTTGTTGTTTTGTATTGTTTGTGGGTTTTTTTGTTGCTGTAGAGTAGAGATATTGTATGCTTAAAATCGAATTGTATTAATTTTCGATTAAAAGATTTTGAAACATAGTTAAGTAAAGTTGTTGTAAAAGTTTGATTCCATTAAATATATGATTTGAAAGCACGGTGTTTTATCTTGTCGGTATTCTATCGGTTGATAAAAAAAGAATTTCTAGTCTGAAAACGATTATCGATAAGTCTTATAAGTATTTTAATACAGTTTTAATGGCATTAATTGGAGAAAGTGCCGGCAACGCGTATGTAATATTAAATACCCCAGAGGACTATTTTCGTCCTAAATGAAAATAAAAGTCGTGCCGTGACTTTCGTTATTCGCTAAACCAGTTCATTTCTTATATCGGCATCCGTTATGAAATATGATGCAACGTTATTATGTTCATTATTAGAATTTAGGCCATTCACTATTCCGCTAATGGCCTGTCCATTTAAACAGACTTACCTACATATTTGGGCAATATAAACATTGTATAATAGTAACTATTTGTCAAGTACAACCAGTCCAATGATATAAATTTTAAACCAAAAACAGCCCTTAAATGTACATACTCATAATTAAAATCAGGGGCTAATATCATTCCTTATTCTACCAAAATTACCTGGTTACATAAACGATAATCAAAAATGAATAAACTATAATCATCCAATTGATGAAGGATTTATTTTTTGATGAGTATTCCTTCAATTCTTCATCATTGTAGTACTTTATTTTGTTGTGTGTTGGTTCATTTAAAAGACACCCTATACATCTATCTTTCCTCATCCATGAAGACACTGAACGAAATAAAACACGAGCAATAAAAATTTCTATGCGGAAATCTATTTCTTACAAAAAAATATACAGTTGTAAAGGCCGCAATCGTAAATTAAAGCCCTTTTAGTTACTTTTATTGATCGTTAAAGTCTCTGTCTAATTTGAAATGTCAATAACTATTGTGTTGTTTCGTTGCTTTAGATATTAAAGTCGCTCTCTTCCTCTAAGGTTAATTGCCGATTCCAATTTATCTTCTACTACACCCACTGAACGAGGTGATAGCAACAAGAAACATAATTACGTTTGTCTATTAATTACTTCTAGAAAAATTTTAATGGTCAAATAGGGAGTTTGTTTTATTCAAGCGGTCATTGCCTCATTCTGTCGTGCATTGCCTTGTTCTGGCGTGGTAAATTATTCTCCTTTTATTACTTGAATAATTTCATCTGATGTAGGGTGATTATTTGCAGGAATAAATTGATATGTCCTGTTTTGTGTGATGCAAAGCATATTCCCATTAAACGAGCGGTTAAAATTCTGTATTTCCCTCACGTACAAAGTGCGTACCTATTCGTTTTTTAATAGCAATTATTAAATCCTGTTCGGTGTAAATGCTACTAGAATTTTTATACGTAATTTAATTTTTATTAGCATAACGTTCACGAACTTGACATTTGGGCTGCGATTTCACGCTGAGGGTCGCCCTTTCGGCATTTTTATGAATGTAGATCATTGATTATAAATACGCCGATGACCGTTTAGAAGATTTTATCAAGGCAAGGTGAACATAAAAAGTTGTATCTACTACATAGTTTATGTGGAGAATGGAATGCTAAATTAAATTGGAGCATTCAATGCGCTAATATTGAAATATTGTTATAAGGACACCCTGTGGAGCGAAAGGATACTAATCTTAATCGAAATTTATACTTGATGTTCCAATTTCATTTCTTATTGAGTGTTCAGTAATTACGTGTAATGCACTCTGCATTAAATTAGATTTACAAATTAGCTCGAAGTAAATAAATATCTAATTAAAGACTTAAATAGCCTGCATATGATATTGCACATTGACCTGGATATGTTGGAGTCACGTATAAAATGACTGTATGTGTTTTTTTAGAAATCGAATAAATGTTCTGGATAGTGCAATTGACAAACATGTCTCGTGTGAGCTCTAGATGGAAAGTTGTACATCTATCTTCGAAGTTTGAATTAGCCGTGAAAACTTTTACTTTGTTATAGAGAATAAAACAATGGATTATATTCATATATGGAATGCGCAATGGCTTTTTTATAATTACTTTCGATTTGTTTAATTGAAATGGAAAGCGAAGGAAATGCTCGAGACAGTTTCTAAATAAGGAATTAAAAGTCTAGCATGCGGTTGGTGTTTCCAAAAGAAAATATCTGGGAGTCGGTGTATTTTATTTTATTGGTAATAAATAAAAAAATGAATATAACTCCGCGTGAGTTGAAAAATTATAGTGGACATCTGATTCGGGCCACACCTTGTTGCTTTATTTGAGAAATAACTTTCACTCTCACCTGCATTCATAAATTGATTCACCTTGAAAATTCACTTTTTGCCCTGGGGTGAGCCATACATTGCATAGCTTACACAAGGTAAATATTTTTTATCGTTTTATACAATTATTTGTACGTGTGTTTGCTTAAAGACCTACTCCGAAATGAGACTAATGATACTCGAAGTACTTATACGTCAAAATAGCGTGTAACGCAATTTTTACGCAAGTTTGTAAAAATAAAGCGAGGCTAGTTTTTTTTTTAATTTACAACACAAATTTATTCTCAATGAACAAAAATATCATTCAACTACAGCTCGGTATACGTTTAACTGCCGGATAAATGAGCTACTTAATTCACTTTCATTCAAGTTACGACCGATTTACAAAAAGCCACCATTACGCAAGCAGTTAAAATTTCCCTTTAATCGATACTAAAAACCTTGCAAACTGTATTCAAAACAACCGCGCTGGAAAAAAAGGCACTTCAAAGCCTCACTTGTTGCTGTTATTATAATCCTTTCACAACGGAATTTGCTCAACGTCTGTCCTTATAAGTCCGCAGGAATTTTGAAATATATCCCACACGTAACGATACCCCACGCGTTATTGTTGGTAACAGATTATGTCAGATAAACGATTTTTCTCGCCAATTACCAGTCGAATTTCATTCCGATTGATTTACGATTAACATGGGTTTTTTAGTGGAATTCCGCGTTTGCCAACGCTTTTTTTTTGTCGTATAACGCTTACCTAATAGCGCTAGACGCAATTAAACACGTTAAATAGGACTATACTTCATCCACGTTAATAATTCGATTCAATCATGTACATAGATAGGAAGGTTCTCATAATACAATTAAATCTTCTTCGAACAATGAGCAGTAATTTCCGGGCCACGTTTAGCAAATAAACGCATGATAACGTTCGCTATTTGGAGAAAGACATGAACATTCTTTCACGAATTGCATTTTCTCTGGCTTTGTTTTCGTTAATGCTGAATAAATAAACTAGATTATACTAGTATGTTTAAGAACTGTACAAATGCTTGCTAGAATTTGTTTGAACTCACGTAAAAATTAACCTTATTTTGACGTACCACAAATGTAATAATTATCAACTTTACAGCAACTAATATCCAAATTATTTCTTCACGTACTTTTAAATAATTTCAAACAAAACGAGAGATTATCGGATTTTTCCTGAAACCAGTCGAGATCAATCTTTGACCCCAATGAACTAATAATTTCCTTGAGTGTAATTAAAATTTACTGCCACAGCCTCAGATTCGAAGGCTCTCTTTTCAATCACGACATTTCCAATTCTACGCCCAGAATATCGGTCAATAATAATCCGCCGCAGAAATCGATTATGTAAAATGCCTATAAGAAAAACAGTTTTAAAGGATTTCATTTTATAATTGTTTCATAATGCAACGAATTTGGTAAATAATACAATGCGATTAAGGATGAATATTTCAATATGTTATTTAATAACCGACAATTTGAAATACGAATTTGTAATGGGCGCATATACAAAGTGTTTGATTTAAATTGGGACAAAATTTTCTAGCTGTATACATGAATTTAGAACTGCTGGTTATTTTCCCAGCTGATCTTTGTTGCTATTTTTTGTCGCATTACGAGTACAACAAGGTGACATCATATTGACCTCGCTCATAATTTATTTGCGATATAAATAAATTAAATGTACACACTCCATACATTCTAATCGAACGAATTAATATGTATAACATATCGACAAAATCCATTCAATGTCAATGTCACTACACCGATATAAATAGGCTCATTTAAATAGGCGATGCGTAGGCTGAAGAGCGTGAAAAAAATCATAATCATGTTAGTTTTATTTCCTGAATTGTAGTCTATTTTTCTGCAGATATAGCGAGGATTAAATATGTCAAAATAGCGTTACGTTTTAAGTTAGCATAATCGTTTTTGACATTTAACAATTATGACATTTGAAGCACGATATATTAACGGAACGCTAATTATTCATAACGTTTACGTAACGTTAATACTGTATACATAGTAAAAAGTCTGCATATGTATAAATTAGAGTTATAATTAAAGGAAGTAGCTAGATGGTTTGAGGTACAAAAACATCGGAAATTAAGCGTTTTTTTAATTACATGCCGTAAAAAATAAAAGTATTGATCGCCTAAAATATCACGCGAGAAGTTTCCGGACGTAATGACATTTATAATTAAACTTTCACCGGCACTTCTGGCGCACGAGATGCGGGTACCAATGGTACCGCCTCAGAGGGAGATTTTTGAATCTGCTTTGATTATTTTCACAATCCAAATCGCGTATGGTCATTAATTAAAAATTTCACTTTGTTGTTCAAACAAACAAGCCGTTGACCATTAATAATAATTCGATGATTTGGTACCTAAAAGTGTATAATTAATTGGGCGCACCCGAATGGGTAACATTTATTTATAATTGTTCCAAGATACACGATTTTGATAGGTGGCTCTTTCTATCTGTCGATATCGAATTTCATGTTATTTTTTTGGTTAATTGGATAAATTTTCTAATATTATCTACTAATAGTTCGTGCTTGTATTAATGTCTGATCATTGCTAAATTTATTCAATTCACATGACGTCTTTTAATAATTGGGCAATTAAAGCAATAATTTCGGATGTAGGAATCATTATTTCCTGTGTTTAATAAAACGAATACGTTTATTTAATTACAATAATTAGGTGGTATATACTATATAATACAGGATGTATTAAGGACTAAACAGATGATGCAGATCGAGATAATTAATAGAAAAAACTCATTACTTACAAACAATGGTATTTTTTAAAAATTCAATACAAATTAATCTAATTATCTACTGAAAATGATTGTATTCTAAATAATGCTCATTACCATGCGGAAAGAGCCAATAAATTGAAAAAATACATATATATTAAATTAATAATTGAATAAGGTAAGTTTAACAGAGATTTACCCCTAATATGATGAGCATTTTAGATTTATACCACTATTAATAAATCAACCAAATTCCCTCCAGTAAATGTACAATAACAGAAATACAACCCATCATTTGACCTATAACATATACAGGTTATGATAACCTAACAAACCATAAAGTTGATAATATTCACCCTTATTCTTTTTGCAAGGTAACATCTAAAATAGCCACTAGACATTTTTTTATTTTGCATAAGAGTGTCAATTTCATTTTTGTTTGTAAATAAGGTATACCGTATACCATTAAAGGCGCAATGAAAGACAATGTTATTAAAAAACTCGTTCTCTCATTGTGCGATCGCTGTGCGTAATCATATGTAATTACATATCTTATATACATAATGCTTATTTTCAAGTTCAATTTCATGGTTTTACCATATAACTAAGCGGGAATTCGAAGTACCGATCATAAAAAGAAATCGGTATAAAACATGATGAATACACGAGGATGTTTTATTGGTAATCAGCCTGTGGGGATTTCATATTGAATTAATTAATACAAACAAAAGTGTCTTCGTCAATTTAATTGTAAATTTTCCTGAGATCGAACAGTATTATAATCGGTCTGCATTAATTCAAACTGGAAGAAATTTTGGTTTCAACTCGATATTATTTCAGAAAATAACCATTTGTAGAAAGCGCCTTCGCAGGTATCTAATTTCAAAACTCGAAAGTTCTTCTCTTCGATCGTAAATCTTGCTTGTAATAAATGTAAAGCAAATTCTGTAATAACCAAATCTATGCTTCGACTTGATCCTGTATTTGATTTACGCATTGTTACATAACTAGACCATTATAGCGATTCGTATATCGCGAACTGGATCGACTGTTGGGTGCGCCGGATAAAACGGGCCATGAAAATAAATGTTTACATATTCTAATTGTTCCCTGCAAAAACCAAATAGCTAATTCATTATGGATAAGTTTCTAGACTGCTTAAAGAATTATATGGCTTGGCAGTCGTGTATGAAATCAGATGGAATTAAGCTGCACCTAATTTCTAAGAAAAAAGTAAACGCGAGAATCCGGATTGTTATAAACAATTAATATCTACCCACAATTCGACGGGAACTATACCTAATAAAAGAACAACGTATACATTTAAAAATTCAACTAAATATCTTTGAAAAATTTGAACCAAATCTCTTTATAATAAAGCATACTTTTACACTCAAGATTATGCATACTTATCAAAAAAGCCTTTTAAACCTTTATAAGACTTATAGATATTTGAATATACAGACAGGTAGGTACTTAATTCCCACGTCAGTTCTCCGACCCCACGGTTTTATCTCTTTAATTATTTTTACAATCCCAAAACACGTTAAAATCAGCCTTATAAAATTTCTCGATATGGGAACGGTTACCGTTACCGATATAAACTGTAAAACACCTTAGCCCCCGCTAAACAATCAGGATAAAATGAAAAAAATGCTGGTACATTTGATTCTGCCTACATAAAGCTGTGAACTGGTTAATAAAGGATATAAACTCCACTGTAGGTAGTAAATAGATTGGGTCTTAATCGGTAATAAAATCAACTTTTTTCTTCAACCTCAAGTGTATCTAGTAATGGGTTACACGAACGGTTACAAAAAATAGTAAGATATTTTATGCGGTTGGTCTTAGGAAATTCTTCAATAAAAAAGTTGTTCAAAATTTAAATAAAACAAGCGCGGTGTCGAATATAATATTCTCCACCATTATGGCATAGAATTGCCCAAGAAAGACGTATTCAAATTAGTTTCAATAATGACATTAATTCACAGAAAGTTCGGACAACTGTCGAAAAACTTTTACTTACATTAATATATTTCTGTGTGGTGACGCGTTTATTTTGTATCTGATTTTTTATAATATTCTAGTAATCGCAGTGAGAGTCCATTAATGAATATTAATTTTAATTATGCAACGATGAAGAGACTATCGATTTATTATCAATCGATATTATTCAGTCGTTATCGTTGCGATCGACTTTGAGATGACAGAAATGGAGTTTATGAATGAATTAGTTAATTGACTTAAATTGTATTAATATCAATATCAAAACGACTTATGAAATGAAGGAAAAAAAAAGAAATTTCTCTTTAATAGCAATTTAGTGTTTTTATAACGTTTATTCAATTAGATTTTGACATTAATTGCAATTGCTGATTTATAAAAAAAGTGAGTATGAATAATTTATCTGGTGTGGAAATGTATCCTGTAAACTAGGTATTAGTTTTATTTTCCCTGAAATGATTGAAATACCTATTTGTCTAACACGTGCAAGGTTTGTTTATTTTCGCAAAAGAATTTAAATGAATGTAGGCTGTATTCTAACATCATCATTGAAAAAAGGTGTGCCGGGTTATTATGGATTGCCTCCATATTTCTTCATGTTTGTTGCGCTGTTCTAATTTTTTTTTGAGGAAAATAAATCATGATATACCTACCTATATCTATAACTTAGAGGTCACAATTGGAAATATTTTTTGAGAGTTAATTGAAAAATATCTACGGCTAGATGAAAAGAGGTGTTAAAATGTAGTATTTTAAAATGCGCTCCTTCCAAAAAAGGACATAAAAAATGATGATTAATTAATGATTCATCATTTCAGTCTAGGATGGGTGGATGAATGATTAATGGTTCATCAATCTTTTGAAGAATATTCTGTATTAATTGATTTGTTACTTTTTATTATGACAATTTGTGCAACAGGTGATGAGTGTATTCAAATGACACTTTTATTAATTGGAAATAAACAATTAATTCAATTAATATTCCTACTGTTTTACTGTTTTTTTATAAACTCTTAAAGAATGTTTCGCCAATTTTCTCAATAAAAATTGCAATTTTTGTGGACTTGACCTGCTGTATTCTATTCATTTTCATTCAAATTATATTAAACTCGAATTTCCATTCAAACATCTCGACTTTCCTGCCATACTCTATACCTATACAAACTACAAAACTTTCGATTTCATTCAATCCATGAAACGCTTACATAACTCGCCAATTCAAAACACCAGATCGCATAATGCGCCTGAAAACACTTGCATACAAAGAAACAAAATCCCTTTCTTTCAGTAACTACCGCAAAAAAATGCAATTCAGTTTTCTTGGTGTAACAACGCAAAATTAAAAATTGTGCTGTTCACATGAATAATTTTATTTCCGCATAGGCGAAACAATGTAGGCTTTATTTTCATTTGTAATTAAATAACCCTAATAAATTTCTCTGGGCGATATACATCTACTATAATTAATTAATCTTTTGTGAAATTGTGTGTAAAATTAACGCTATTTATCAATTAGAATTTTTCCAATATGTATTCCAAAAGACAATACATCCCGATTTATTAAAAAAAATCAATCGAATAGGTACTGACCAGCAGAACGAGGTAGTACCCCAACATATTCTTCCGGGGTGGTCACAGATTCAACACGCGCACCGGACTCGCACTGCTCGCGTTTCGATTGTTGTGTATACAAACACTGACCGGCCGACGACGCTCTTTTCCGACTCCGCGTTCGATGTGTGGTGGATTTCCAGTCCGGGCGCACCAGCTCGGCTCACCATCGGGGCGCCCGCTCTCGATCCGGTGTGTTGTGTGCGGCCGCGGCGTAGGCGTGCCCCGCCACCGCGCCCGGAGGTCGAACCACAATGCAAGGTTGTGCGTGCGGTGCGTGCATTTCTATGTAGGGCACCATTGAGCCCGGCGCCCTGGGTTAGGGCTCGGGCGCCTTCTTCGTTCTGAGTTGCCTTGATTGACTGCATGTTATGAAGGAGATTTCTAAGGTCTGGAAACATAGGTCGAAAAAGTGTCCCGTTATTTGAGGAAAAAAACAGGGTTCCTGAAACGGTTTTTTGCGTACGAATTATGTAGAATTAGAATTAAAAAAGGTATTATTCAAACTAAAAATAGATATAAAATAGAAAATATACATAAATCAGCGATGATTTTGTTGTTAACATCATGCCCACGGTCCTATATTTCTAAGGTCTGGAAACATGGGTCGAAAAAGTGTCCTGTTATTTGAGGATAAAACAGGGTTCCTAAAACGACCGCTAGGAGAAGATGTTGTAAAGGACCACGGTTTTTTTCGTACTAATTATGTAGAATTAGAATTAAAAAAAGGTATTATTCAAACTAGAAATAGATACAAAATATAAAAATATACTTAAATCATCGATGATTTTGTTGTTAACTTCATGTCTCACGTACCTTCGGTTAATGTATTTCTCCATTTTCTCCTCGAAATGTCAAATAATAATTTTTGAAGTTTTGACAGCATGAACTGTCATCTTACAACCGTGATTTACATCTAGCGCGACGCTGATTGGCTGAGATAAGTTGGTCCTTCGATCGTTCACAACGGTGCGGCGCAAAAGTGAAGCTCAAAAAGTCCTCAAATAACGGGACAAATTCTCTAATGCATAAGCCACGGTCCTATATTTCTATGGTCTGGAAAGATGGGTCGAAAAAGTGTCCCGTTATTTGAGGATAAAACAGGGTTCCTAAAACAGCCGCCAGCAGGCGATATTGTAAAGTTACACGGTTTTTTGCGAACTAATTATATAGAATTAGCAATAAGAAAGGTAATATTCAAACTAAAAATAGATACAAAATATAAAAATATACTTAAATCATCGATGATTTTGTTGTTAACATCATACCTCACGTATCTTCGGTTAATGTATTTCTCCATTTTCTCCTCGAGATGTCAAATAATAATTTTTGAAGTTTTGACACCTTGAACTGTCATCTCACAACTGCGATTTATATCTAACGCGACGTTGATTGGCTGAGAAAAGTTGGTCCTCCGATTGTTTGCCACGGTTCAGCGCAAAAGTGAAGCTCAAAAAGTCCTCAAATAACGGGACACATTCTCTAATGTATAAGCATAGGCTGTTTCTAGGACTTAGAAATATAGGGCCGTGCACGTGACCGAATTCGAAATGAACGTAGTAAATTTGTTATGTTTATGTTGGTACCAAAAAAATAAGTTACTAGAATACTGTCATTAATGTCAATTCAACGTGTTTGTTAACGTGTTTTGTTAATTTTTCCTAGTTTTTCCTGTGCTTTTCCCGAAGAAAATTGTCTATCAACATAACCTTTAATTAATAATAGGCAAAAATAATGAAGAACCAAGTGGATTAATATGCTTCCTCCACTGTGTTGATTTGCATTCAAAATAGGGACATTTCTTAAAAATAATAACAACTTGATTTTTGAGAGTTACCTAACTTGATATGTTGGGTTTTTTCCAAAAAATTAAGGAAACTATAAAAATTTATAAACAATATTTTTAAACCTGCAGGATATAATTTTAGCTTTCAAGGAATTTTTCAAGATTCACAATAGATGTTCAATTATTAAGGAACGTTTGTATACACCACAATAACTATTACGATCATCCGTAATTATACGGAATTGTAATTTGCAAACATATACAAGGAGAAACGGGCAATAATCATAATTATATATTTCATTACGAGCGATATAAAGCGGCAATCAGAAAAATTGGACACTATTGTTAGAGCGATTAAAAATTTAGAGAATGAGGTGCGCATTTACATAACGGGTAATAGGGTAACAGAATAATGGAGTGTACCTGAATAAAAATTTTGTCGAGTTGAATAAGTAGTTGAAAAAAATTCATTATTCATAACCATAAAATTAACTATTCATTTACCTACCCATTGCACTTTAATTATAAGTAAAAGTTCTTAATTCAATAATAAACTAAGTTAGGCAATAATGTAAAACCAGCATTCAGCCTACATTATTAAAGGCTATTATTTTTCATTTTAATAATCCGAATGCAATAAATTATTTCATGCAACCGCTAGTTCCTAGACCGATTTTTAATTATTTTCCTCAGCTACTTCTTATTTATCATAAAACAACAAGAAATTTCCCACAGTTTTCCGTTGTACTTCTACTTATTCATAAAGCAAGGCCGAAATTCGTGTCAACACAACAAGTTGGCAGCAATCAAATTCAAATTTGTACAATTACCTCATGTAGGTCATCGAAACTGTGATGGAAAACTATGGGAAATGCTATTCATTTTGCAAACAATAGTCCAAGTAAAAATCATAGGGTCATTTTCAGTAGCATTCATGTGGATAAATAAACATGTAGATAAACGTTTTTTAGTTATTGTTTAACATTCCTTTTCATCATCACAATTGGATTGGACTAAGATGTAATTATAAGTTATTAATTTATGCACAGATGAATATCAAATTTTGATAAACGTAAAAATATATAGGGAGTACCTACATAATACATAATATGCCGGTTTTAAAAGTATTCTAAGTATTCTTGTGATAATTAAAAATTAAATGTGCAATAATGCAGTACCTAGTTATTTGCTATTAAGTAACAAGCGATTATTTGCGCACCGGCCGTATAATTAATTTAGCCTGGATAATTAGAAGCCGCCTAGTAGGTAAAAGTAATAGCGAAAATAAGTATCTTAATGATTGTTAGGATGTTACATATCTAATTATTGACCAATAACCTTTGGTAATTGCGCCATTGCGACAATTTAATTAGAAAATGCATTAAATTTAACGTTGAGTAACTATACAAGATGGCACAAGTTTTGTATAACATACACAAAACAAATAAAATACATTTATTCAAGACCTCAAGCAATTTGTCTCCTGCATCGCGTTCTCTCTTTAACCCATTCAAAGTAATTGTTTTCAATTCAGACGATTCCTAAGGAACATCCTTAAGTTTCAAAAATCAGAATCAAGTAATTCGAACTCGTATTGTCGACCAACGAAGATCTATCAGCATATAAAGAAATGAACTCCAATTACCTGCTCTAAAACAAGAAAAAGCAGCTCTTCCCGCCTCCTGCATACATAGGTACCTACTTAAGAATTACGGGTATAAGTAGACTCAATTTTTTCATACCGGCCGATCTCCAAAGTCCCCCGTTCGCGGTAGGTACGTAGGCAAAGTAACATTATAATAAATTAAACCGCGAAGAAGTAATCTTATAAGGACTGACAGCAAAAAATACAAAACTGTTACAATTCTCGAGTGGTTGCTGACCAGACGATAATCACCAAGGTTGTTCGTGGGATTTCGCGAGATTACAAAAAAAAAAATACACTTCTGAAAGTATTACGAGATCACAGGACTTCGACAGCGGTAACCTCGCAAATTGGCCGTTCGGTAGTCTTAAAGACGGTTATTTTGAGTTCCTGTTTAGACCGCAAGTTAGGGAGACAATTAAACATTGCATATTACTTAGCTGTAAGTGTGCATAATGAGATGAATTTCGCGCAAGTCTTGTTATTGAAAATTGCACGTAGAGCGAGAATATTAAGTAGTTATTTGGTGATTAACTTAACAAGCGAAAAAGTAGAAATTCAGTAAATTTTTGCATGAATTTGAGGAGCATAGATTTAAATTTTATTATTGTAAAATACAATAGTACTTCCTTACATAAAAATTAAAATCTACTATATTATTTTTGAACAAAACATCTACATCTGCAAATTACAAACCTAATGTATACAAACTCATAAGACTCTTAAATTAATTCACTCGATAGGGTACCAGACGAATTCAAACTCTTTTAGCCCGAAGGTCTTCTCAGTTTTTTCATTCGGCGTGTCCGATGAGTCCAAGCCGAGATTAATGAATTTGAATTTCGGCCTGTAGCCATTGGCATCAGCCACGTAAGTTACTACCCTGCTGATACCATCCCTGCCGTTGACGAAGTACCCTCCGATTTTCGTGCCGTCCTTCAGCCCTTTCTCGTAATGCCCGTGGAAGCCTACTGTGTACTTGAACTTGTAGAGAATATTGGTAACGTCTCCTGTTTCAACCCCCTCTGGAAGACCCGCCGTCATGCCGGGGTATTTGTCTTTGATCGGAATGTCGAAGGGTTTCTTCCCCATCACGTGGATCGTGTTGTCGGATACCGAAATCGGCGGTAATTTGGAGACTTCCTGCGGTTGCAGTAGAGGATTTGGACCTGTTGAGCCGAATGGTGGAGCTACCAAACGGCCGAATTTGTCTATAAAAATAAGCGTAAAATGTTTAGGGATTGGGAGAATTAGGGAGGATATAAACTAACCTTTCATAGGTTCTTTAAGGTTTTCTTGGTTTGGAATTAATTCCACGTTGTTTGTGTCAAAACGAGGTGATATATTGTAATCGCTACCAGGACTATCGCCATTATTCAGTGATTGACTATCGAACTCAGCTGGTAAATTAGGAGTATTTTCACTTATTACTTTCATACCATCTTCCAAAGGAATATTCTGCTCGTGGATATTACTGTTTTTCCTGGAACTTTCAGGCCCTTGCGGGACCACGCCAGTACTAACTTTATTAATCTTCTCCGATTGAATCTCATTTGCTACTAAATGATTTCTATTTTTTTGCTCGGGTTTCTCAACATTATCTTGATATCTTTGCAACTCAACACCCGGTTGAAGGCCATTTGGTCCTTGAAAGTTTGTTGGCAACACCTCAACATCTACAGGAATTTTCCCCTTATACATCGGTTGCTGCACAACAGGTCCAGAAACTGGAGAAGATGCAACACGAGGAGGTACAGGAACACCTAATAAAATTGATACAATCAAACAAGTCCAATCGTGAAACAAATAGTATAATTAACCTGTTTCCGCTAGTTTTTTAGTCATGGAAACCTCTGCAGGTTTCTGGAAGGCGGGATTTAAGAACATAAACTTCTGGCCCGGTGGAGGTGGAGTGATCAATCCGCAGCCGGCACAAGCAGGTCTGATGGTGCTATGTGTGGTGAACCGGTAGACTGGTTTTTGTGTAGTTACTGAAACAGGAGCTTCCTGGATCCGCTGGAATTGCTGTGGAGTTGCTGGGGCTGGTGCTGATGGTTTTGAAGGCGATGGTTCTATTTGGTTCGGTTTTTTCAGGTATTTAGAGGCTTCAGGTGAAATTGGGCCGAGTGCTGGCGAGCCATCAAGTGCTGTAAAACAAGTTTATATGATGGATTTTTGTAATTGATAGGTGTAGGTACTTACGTGCGCTTATTCTTATGTTTTTCATGCTGAGAATTTTGAAATTTCCATTTTCATCTGTGGCGTACACGGTAACGTGATATACTCCATCTGCTGTGATGAAACCAAACTCTCCTTGTATGATCCCATTTTGATCTGGAATAATAATAATTTTAGTTTTTTTTTTTTCGGGTTACAATTTTTTCGCCTTACTTTATTAGCCAAACTAATAGAACCGATAAAAAAGAATTTTTTCAAATATTAATCATTCTATATAAACCAAAAACGCGGTCTTTTGTGGCGCCCCGAAGGCGCTTTTTATTGGTAAAAATAAAATTTCATTCCTTTTCAATTAATTATTCCCTCATTGTAGCCGGCATTGTGGTCGAAAATCTTTGAAAACCATTGTTGCGGGGCGGCATAATGCCGCAAAACCTTTTTATCAAACAATGTCTCAAATAAAAATCAATATTAACTCTATAAGCCGGGATGAAAGGCCCTTTATAAAAGGTTTATAAAAGCTTTGTTCGAATGGTAATGCCCGTGAAGCGTGCTAGAATTTTTCAGAGGCGGAATATTCTCTATAAAATAGAGCATTTTTTTTCAATTATTTATAATAGATTTCTAATTTAACAAGAAACATATAAAATTAAAATCTATAATGGGTGATGTTAGCGTGGGCAAATAAATTTTGTTGTGTATATTTTGTTGGTGATTTTTCTATCGAACATGGATAGAAAGATGAGTGTAAAGTGACATCATAGCTAAACAATTCGTGTCTATGTATGTAAAATTTGAGGATTTCGCAAGTATTCCCTGATCGAGCCGCCCCTGCAGTTCTTTTCTGCTTTTTCCATTGTTCACGGCCGTTAATTCGAAGTAGGCAGCATTGAAGGCTGTGAGAATAACAATGAATTGAAAATACTGTTCCCTAAAAATAACGTTTCATTGTTTCAATTTTTACTGCAATCGTAGGATTTTCCTCTTTGCCGGACACAAAACGCGATTGTTTTCGAAAGTGCTAATTTTAGCTAAATATTTACTTGTTTACTTTGATATTTCCAATTTTATACTATATCTACTTCATTCTTGAAATAAATTCTTCAAAACTTTTGTTTAACTTTATTTGAATGTCTGGACTTATTAATTTTTATTAAACTTTGTTTCCTTTCTATGACAAGGGATATTGCAGTACAGAATAGATCATTGCTTTTCTAGCTAATGTTTATGTTTATGTTTATATTAAATTTGTGTTCTGGGTTTTTTCAACTTCGAACTGCCATCTGTTGAATAAAAATCACAATAACATGTTTCAAAAGATTTTAGATAGATGGCTAAATTTTATGAAGATTGCCATCTGTAAGAAGAAATCACAATTAATAAATTAAATTTGAATTAGTAACAGGCGAAGCATAAATCATTTTTTAATAAATATTTTAAGGAAGAAACTATGTGCCTCTCTGGTACATATTTTTTTATATTTTTCTTAAAAATATTTATATTCTGGAAACTGAAAGTAACATAATTTCTGTATTTCTTTATATATTTTTTTATTTATATTTATTTTTATTTACCTTTCTTTTCATGTCTGTGCTGTTGTCCATCAATAGTAAACCCAAATTCATATGGCCTGCCTTCATCACTGTCTTTTTGCCCTAGGATTACGTTCAAGGTGAAAAGAACGCATATGAAAACCTCAAATAAAAAAATAATAACGTAAGTACACACATCTGCGGTTAAACAAAATTTAATTGAATTTTTATTTATTAAGTGATTTATTAATAACTAAGGTCATAGAGGTATATTTTTTCTACATTCTAAATTATCGGGTTTCTTAATGTAACATGTAAATTTGATATATCGATTTCAGTAATACAGGAAGTAAATATTCGACGAGTAGATAACAATAAAATTTTTGAGAGATGTTAATTATAGAGATTGTGTAAAAAGTATGTGAGTTTGATTAAAATAAAAATTGCGTTTTCTATTTCTTTTAAATTTGATACAACAATAGGTTAGAATATGAAAAATACATATATTTTTGTCGTAATACAAAATTTTCATTTTTTGAAAATCTTCATTTTAATGGATGCAAATTTTAATATGTATCATCATCTACCATCTTGGTGCATTCCTTTTTAGTTCCAGATTTTTGTGATATTATTCTTATTATATAATTTTATGAAACAATGCATAGGTACAGAATTTTTAATAGAAATATCTGATTATACATCCTACATTTCTATACAATAATTGTATCATCCAGCGAAGATAAGTATCAGTGCTTCATCTGCATTCGAATGACATTTCAGGTAATATAATGCATTTTGTTGCAAATTAATAATGAAACTTATATTTACTATAGCTTTCGAGAAAATTAGTACTTCCCTCCTCTCTAATTTATTATCTAAATAGTTTGTTTTATATATTTTTTGGGTACGTACTGCCTTAATAAAATATCAAACTTTCAAATGCAATGTATTATTTACACAGTACTAGAAAACCTTTATAATTACAATATTAACACGTATAAGAGTCATCATAAATCACAACAAGTAATCACTCTCGACTCTCTTTGAAGCATTCTTCATCGCGTCACCTGATCCTTGACAAATTTATGAATTACTTAACGCATTCAACAAATAACAAATAAATCTAATTAATTTGCAAAATATTCGAGGCCGCGATTTGGCCCAAATTCACTGAAACCTACCTTTTTCGATAACATTTTTCAGTTGCCCCGCGAAAATTGTTCTTTAAACTTAAACACTCAGTACACCACTAAAAATATCGGCATGACAGTGAGCAGGTAATTGTTAATGTCTTCAATTTGAATCGATTTTGTATCTTCATCTTCCGTGGGGGTCTCCCATCTCCCGCCACTCTGGATTTTAGCATTGTACAAACATAAGAGGGGCGTAAAAATTCTATACTGCGTTATAATTGATTAGTACTTTGTTTTTTTTCAATTACTTGTTTTATTTGTAAATTTGGTTTAATTATTAATAAATATTAAATAGGTTAAATTAACTATTGAACGAACAAAGTTTGTAGTAATAAAAAATGGCTCTTTTATAATACTCAAATTGTCAGTCTTTTTTTTATATTATCATTGTGTTTCATCTTCAATAAGATTTTTTTTATTGTAAACACTAGTATATGTGAATTAAGTAAATTTACTTTACTATAATGTTACTGGGTACATACATTAAGAGATTAGCACGAATATAACTGACTATTATTACCTATTAAACAGTTAATAGAATAATGGATATATGGAATACCTGCAGCTTTAATGGCTTAGTAATACTTGAATACCTTGTATGTTCTGCGTGCCGTCATGAGCATTGTTAAAAAATCAACAATATTCAATCTCATCTGATACAGGAATGTCACGATTTTGTTTGTGATATACAAGGGGAGTTTTTAAAGTACCTACCTACGTTTATCTGCTTTAGAAAATCCAGTTTACGTAAATTCGAGCTTTTTAAAGTAAACACTGGTTAAAGTTTATATTAAAGTTTTTCACAGTTAATTCAAATAATATTTAATAAACTAAATTTTCTAATTAAAAACGTTTTTAAAATATACTGCTCCACAAAAGTTAAGGAAGTTCACAAATATTGAGATTAATTTAAAAGTTGCAGGTTTTTTGTTCGCCAAATTTAGTATGAATTGTAGAGGTAGAGGCAAAAAATCGACTTAGATATGAGAGAAAACATTTAATTTCGCATATTTGAAAATCTGGTGATCAAAAAGTCTGTAACTTTAAAATAATCGCAAAATTTGCGAACTTCCTTAACTTTTGTGGAGCAGTTTAATATAAAATAGGCTAGAAAATGGCTTTAAAAATATTAAAAAATGTTCAAAAATTGCTTTATTACATTGCTTTTAGTTAAAGAGTAGCATTATTCTTTACCGTAATAGTAGATTGTGGGTGCGTAATTTTCGCATAATCCTAGCTAATAGAATTGAAAAATAACAATCAATATACTAAAGAACGCCCGCGGGAAACAACAAGTCGCATTTTTATTTATTATATAGAAAAAAGAAAGGTCGACAAGCATCAAGTAACTAAGGTCAATACTTATTTGTTCTTTATAGGTGTAGGCAGGATATAGTTATATTTATTATTTATATGCTCAGGAAATATTTTTCTATTATTAATCATTCAAACAAAACAGTTTACATAATTCTATTATAATAGAGTAAAATTGCTAAAATTTTGATATTGACAATTTGGGTAATTCCCACGAGAGGTGAGAGCAGAGAGCCGAAAGAGATTGGCCACAAAATGACATAGAACTAGATAAAAGTGACAATTTTGACAACAAGATATCTTCTTGTTCTGTGATCTTCTTTTCTTATGGTTTTTAGCATCTTCTGGTGTTTTGGTAAACTAAAAGCAATGAAATGAAGGAGTTTGAATTGGTTTAGACTGTAGTTTTCTGCAATTTTCAAGAGTAAAAGCAGGGATTAGCAAGTAACGTAAGTAGAAATATTTACCATGTTTCATAGATGGCATAACGTTCTCATTAATAAAAATGTTCATTCATTTGTTATTAACTTTACTATAACGACTTTTAATATTAAAATATTGATCAAAAATGCTTTTTGAATTATACTCATATTGTTTATCAAACTTAAATAGTCTTCGTTTATTAACGCAAATACTTAAATGTTTTAAATCCTGCAATAACAGGAGTGAACCGGTCAATGAATATATCACTGAACGAGTGGGTGATATTCAAAAATTTAATATAATTAATATGCACGAATGTTTACGATTTTTGCTATGCAAATTATGCACAAAATAGCATCATTATGATTCCTCTCACTTGAGGTACTTCTAGGTATGGATATTTCTTCGTAACAAGACAGATTCAGAACAATTCATCGTATTTTGCTCAGTCCTGGTATGCGACATGATTTATTCATTAAAATAGAGTCAATTAACAACATTACCATCAGCCTTACATAAAGCGATTCTTACACACTTTTTCGCATTATTGTAAATCACGAATTCAATTGACAGTTTGGCCTTAACTCAGTAATTATTAATTGACTTACTGCCACTATATCACTGAAGAAGATTTATCTCGAATGCACGACAGCCTTCCATTAGCGCACAAAACTATTTCCTGCCTTTTTCTGCAGTGTAGTTTCATTATTAGAAGTCCCTTATGGTTCAATTATGGTACAAGTTTGTTTGGATTAATCTTTTATAAAGTTTTAAAGCAAAATGTAATGTACAAAGTGATAAGAAGTTGGAGATATTGCTGAATGAAAAGTTCTTTAATTGTACCTACATAATTCTTCATTATATCTTCCTGATTTTAAACGAAAAATTTGGAATATTTAGTTGTTTATCAAGAGAGCAAGATTTACCTACCTTGAAGCTGCTTCAGTTACCTACATACTACATTTCTCAGGAAAAATAGGATTTGAAAACATTCTTTATTCTCTGAAGATATATTGAAACATAAAAACCAAGAGGGTCCAATGGATCCCTCTAACTTCACGCTCCAATTCAATTACATTTTCATTTTCCATTTTTTTGTACACCCCAACTTCTTTCTCATTCCAGACCTTGTAAGCATCTGCAAATTCAATTACAATTAGAGGGCATAACCAGAAAAATATGGGGCCCCGTTTTCCACTATCACGCCCTTAGAAAAACGGGGTTTTATCTCATCGGAAACGCCGCTGCAGTCGAAGAAGCTGTCCACCAGCTATGGACATGGCCAGTCGAAGCGGAGTGCCAGATGAAAGCTGCCTCAAGGTTACATTCTCGTTACCTTGATTCATCTTCACTTTCGTTTTCGATCCGACTACCTACATTTTGCAGTGATATTTTTAACCGTTAAGCACTCTTGGGCCGATTTTTCTCTTCGGTTCTCACGGAGTAATCGATTCGACATTGAATTTAACGCGAGCTCTATCGGAACAGCCCGAGCTGTAATTAAATAAATTCGGTTGCTCCGGGCGTGTGGGTAGAAAATACCTGTGCATTTTTTTTCACTAAAGTATATCTCGTATTCAATTAGAACTAAACATTTTTTACTAATCGTTGTGATGTAATAATTACGGTAATATTAATATGAGAACAATTCAAATGCGTCCTACATTATTATAGATTTAGTAGTATATAGTAATGTATAGGTAATATTTATAGAAGGTACTTAAATGATTACCTAAACAGGTTTTTTTTTCTTTGCGTGTGAACAGAGGTCAGGAGTTCATTAGGCAAAGTTACCTAATAATCAGTTCTTTTTAACTGAATATTTATAGTACCTAATACTGCCAATAAAATTCTTTATTTCCAGCCATATAATCAGGAGAAGTGTAGATAAAATTTCAATCAAAAACGTGTAAAAATTATACGAACATATAGCAAGAAAAATTACAAAATACAGCAGCATTGTCATATCTAATTAAATTTTACTAGTTCTAGTAATTTTTATTTGAGTTCCATTTGGAAACCTTCAAGACTTTAACCTGGCAACACTGGAATAAAATAAGAAAAAAATCAAACAAATCCTCCAATTTCTCATTGCTATTTCCAAATCGCTGTTACTGACATTTATCCTAAATTTCTTCACTTTCATTCTAAATTCCACTACGTTTAGTGCCACACCTCGGACTCAAAAGTTGCATTAATGAAAACGGTACCGTTGATATCACAATCAAACATTGATTCGTCGGATAATAACAGTACTCAAACGTTACAACTAATGCCGTATTCCGATTTTCTCACACTGTTATATTGTCTGTAAGATGAGATAATAGACCGTTTCAAAATAACTCCTTTTTATTTGGTAACATTTTACCAGCAAATTTGCAATTCCCTACGCCTGAAGAAAGGTCGCAAAAGCAGGAAAAACGGACGAATTAAAGGAAATTTACTCGACTATAGAACTGTAGATTGTGCTTAGAAAAATTAGAAAAAATATAATTAAATCGCTATAATCAATATAAATAAATCACTACACTAGTAAATGATAAGAAATAATCCTAAATTAATAAAATTAATTCAACAGAACTAATATAATAATTACTTTCTTCACATATTCATTTTTTGCACTTTTATCATAACGGGTGACCATAAAAACTCAGACATTCAGAAAACTATAAATTATCCAAATCATTGGACTAAATCTAAGGACCATTGACTTTTTTCAGTAAATAAATGACCCTTAATTAATGTAGCTTAATTGAAAGAAATCATGATTTCAATGCACTTCCAATAAAACTCTTAAAGGATAATTAAATTATTTTTTCATGTAGCTAATTGGCTGTTTAGGTGTCCTCTAAGTACAATTTTATAACTCTCTTAAATGGAAAAAAATTAAAGCGACTCCAAATAAGTGCTCCTAATATAATTTTCGCATTCCCATCAAATTTGTCTCAATTAATTGTAATTACGCGGATTATGTCCAATGAAAACCAGCTTTGTGAATACCAAATCATACTTTCAAAGCGTAAAAATACTCCTAAATAATTCAACAGTTGAATAACATTCTATTTTTATCATTTTTATCTTCTTGCTTCGCATGCTAATCCGACTCTGCAATCTGCAAGTCCCGGACGTTGTTGACATTTAGTTGTTAGAATACCTAAGACATCATTAATCTTTTCGATTTTTTTCTATAATTATCCATGACGCTGGAAGAATATTCTCTCACGTATTTGGTCTGTAATTACACTGCACTTATTGATATTAGATTAAAACTTGCAATGATTCCTATATTATTGCTGGTAATTTCTGTTCGTTGCGAAGTGTTTCTTTGCATGCAATGCAAGAGGACCTTGAATTTAGTTCAATAAAAATTATTATTAGGGATTCTTTAGGGAAACTCTTGTTTGCGATGCACTACAAACTTGTGCAAATAGTTAAACAATATTAATCAAGAAAATTATTGTTCTTACGCTCCAAAATTAGCAGGTAATTTTGGATTGTTTATTAGGAATGTAAATGATAGTAATATATAATTTCAAAATGATAGTGATGCGTTTTGACCTTTACGATTAATATAATAATTGAAATGCCATGCACAAAACGTATTTAACATTTGAATTTTAATATAAATTATACTTACTTGATACGGCCAATTATTGTTAGAAAAACTGTAGGTATTTGTAATTTTTAGGTATGGTTGATTTCATAAAACATTCGATTACCAATTAAGCCTTCATAGGTCAATGGCAATCAAAAGTAAAGAAATATAAAACACAAGTCAATAAACAGTGATTTTTATTCGTATTGATTTTGATTAACTAATCGAGCCTTAATTGACAATTAAAAGTTTCTTGATTTGGGCCGGACCGTCTTTAAAATAAGAGCTACTTTCTCATTACCCAATTAAATTTGTTCAAACAAGAATACAAAAACACAGATGGTAAGTTTAAATAATACCTTCCAAATAAAACTCCAATTATTATGATATAATGCTAATCTAATAATTTCACAATATGTGGTTGTCGTAATGATAGGAGAAACATTCAAGAAGACGACCGGCGAAAGTTCCAATGCATTGTTTATCAATGTTAGATCGATCATGTCTCTTGTAATACGAATAAGACAAGGACATTCGGAGATAACGAGATAATGATCGTTTTAAAGTAGGTACTACAAGGAAATGATTACGTACGTACCTCACATTTCATTGTAACATATTTTTTTATTTATTGTACATTAATAATTTAGATCCTACACATGTAAGGAAGAATATGAGAATAACATGATTACCATCAATGTCAATGTTTGTCCAAAGTTTAAAGTAAACTCTAGTAGTAAAAATGTAAACTATCCCATTTCGATTGGATTAAAGGTAGGTACCAAAAGTCAATACTGTCGAATCTGAAGTATTCCTGTCCTGATATTGCATAAAAAATTGCACAATGCATTGCCTATACCGATAGCGATAGCATATACTTGTGCATCTGTTGGAACAAGCCGAAGAAATTTCGCGCAAGTGACTATGATGCAGCCGTCTTCACTGGGAAAAGGCTCACCTTTTGCGTTAAAGGTCGTAAACGAAAATAATACAATTTGTAAGTTACACACATACACATTTGCCACGATGGCGTAGGTATTATAATAAATTAGGTAAATAAAAAGCACTTTCATCTTTAATTAAGTCTAGTATTTCGTTCAATTTCTAGATAGGTGCGTATACAGGGTGGTTTCTTGAGACACATTCATTTTTATTTAATTAATTAATTTTAAGATATATATTTTTTACAGTTTTCATACAAGTTTCATAATGAGTTTCATTAAAAGTCTTTTGTATACGTTGCACATGTAATCATAGTTAAACGAAAATTTGATGAATTACTTTTTGATTGTGTATTAACAACTATAATTACGCTCTCTTTACTTAATACCTAACTGCATACTATTGCATACTATAATAATTGGGAAATAATTATGCGTTAAAAGTGTTGAATAATTGATTTAAACGAAAAAGACAAAGTAATTTTTGATCGCAAATGAGTAAATATGTACCTATAGGTATGTTATAATCGAAAGGTTAATTAGTTATATCGCGTTTAATCTACGATTATTTGGTGGATAATAAATATTATTACATAATTATAATAAATATTTATTATATTGCAGCGGCGCAAGCATATGCATAATCCTAGGTCATGGCACTTGCCTGTATAAACAAAATATCGACACGGGTAATTAACAAGTACATCTAATAATTTAGATATAGTAGTTAAATTTTTGATGGTGTTAAAATTTAATTGATACTGATGCATAAATCGTTTAAACAATTAACTGCTCATATTTTAATTATCACCAAATTAATCACAACATCGTGTAATTAATTGACTGCTAAATTAAATGACAAATTAGTGAAAATAATCAATAAATCGAATTCCCTACAGCTTCTATAATTAATTATGCCAATAAAGGAATTTTATGGTTTTTTCTGATTTGTATATTTTCGAATAAGAAAAGTCATTGACTCAAATATTCGGAATACAATTAAGTAAATATTCATTCACTTGCATTTTATTGTTGGAACATATTTGCCTGAATATACCTAATGTAAATAATTAAAATGTGATATAGTATTTACAAATATATCTTGTGTTCATTTTATCACTTAACTCAGTATGGTGGAAAATTACTAAAAGTATAATATCAATAAAGTATCTACTAAAGACTAATAATATTCAATAAATGCTAAGAGAATACGAATATTCCTTTAATGTATTCAAAAATAAATCAATCTTACAGGGTCATTCGATTTGAAAAAAATGTAGACTCATAAAGCATATTAAAATAGGTAATAAACTTAAATTTGTTAAATCCTACTGAATATTAAATTAAGGAATAAGAATATTAATTTTTCTGCATTGGGTCTTGAAAATTTTTCAATAATAATTTATTGACTGTATCGATTGTAAGTCAAGTAGGTAACTAAATAGTCAATTATTAGAGTTTACTTGTAAGTTGAAATCACCTTATACCTGTTTGAACTTTTTCATATTGGCAAAGATGCTCAAAAATACCATAGATAACGTTACGTAATACATTAACCTTTTAAAGCCGTTCAAGTAAAATCTATACGCAAAAACTAAAAAAATAACAAGTTTGCAAGGTCTACTAAATATAACTTTTTTTCCTAAATTTTTGCCATTTGTTTAATTTATGGCAAATACTTTCGTAAATGGTATAAATTTTGGCAGGACCGATTCTTCTTCACATTTGACGTGATCATCTGAAACCAGCAACATGAAGGTGGTGAGTATTACATTAGATTAATTTTTAAATAATCTTTTAAATAATAATTTCAATTTAAATAAATTGAAAAAGAATTTTCAAATTCACTGAGTATTAATAATATATTTTTTTGATTACCTACTCTATCAACAATCGGTTACCTTTTTAATTTAACTTCTAATGTATTATTCATAGTTATAAATATTAATGGAGTTATTCAATATCGTTCTTCATTAAACAAAATGAGTAATATTTAATCCGATAAATCGATGAAAAAATCTTCTAAATTATACGTTAACAGCAATATCTCTTCTTGTGTAACACGTTTTGTATTCCTATATTTCAACATGAATTTGTTCAAATTAAGCTGGAAAGATATTTTTTTGCGATAAATAACGTTAGTTAATCAACAGTAAATGCTATTGCCGCCTGTACCTAATGAAATTTTGATTCAACCAGACTGATTATGGACATCGCAAAAAATTATCCTGGCATGTAATTTCTACGGTAATTACTGCATATATCCAATTAAATTGGAATAAAATACTTGTTATAAATAATTCCGAATAATTGCAGTAAGTCGCAATCATCAAATAATTTTTTGCTTCAATAAATTACCAAATGAATCTTTCGATCATATAACTAATTTAATGAATTATTTGTAGATGAGTTGCATGATACAAATAATTGTTTGTACATGTTAGTTGTGATAGTGTTGTAATTCTATTATTAGGGATGAGGTTTCTAAAGCCTATTTATTTTTTGAATGCAAATATCTTCAAAATATCGTATAGTTCCTTTATAATTTTGTTTTGGGAAAGTTAGTGCAAAATGTCTCTGCACCATTTGGGAAAGCGGTCTAATGGAAATTATTTTTATGTGTTAATTTGCTTTGGAAAGACTATAATAACGTTATTTTTTAGGTAATTTTCGCTTGTGCCATATTCGCTCTGGCAGCTGCCCTTCCCCAACCCCAGCATACCCAACACCATGTACAACAGCATGTACAACAACAACATGTACAACAACAAGGACAATACCATGAACAACCGCAACGTCCGGTCAGTCGCCAGCAAGATGGACAATATGTTCATCATTACAATGCACCAGTTCATCAACACCACGACGTCGAGGCTTCCAGGCAAGCTAAATTGGTTCATTTCGACAGCAACTTAGGTCTTGGAGTAGAAGGCTACAATTACCGGTAAATGTTCATTTTAACTGTTTGATTTTTGATAATAATTGTGGTGGAAACGGTCGTTTGAAATGAAAATTGTTGCAGTTTGGAGAGTACCGACGGTATCAAGAAACAGGAAACGGGATCCTTTGAGAATGTTGGTACCGATGACGAAAGTTTGGTAGTTGTAGGTGAATACTCCTACCCTGGAGGTCCTAATGGGGAGATCTTGACTGTCAAGTACGTAGCTGACAGAAACGGATTCCAACCCCAAGGCGAACATCTTCACTAATCTGCTTGTCAAATTGTTTTGTTAATTAGAATAAAATAAATGTTTTTTTAACGCTAAAACGCACGCTGATTCACCGAGAAATCTCCTTCACCTGATGCGTCCCTCATTAAATAACGATCGTGTTGTAATAATATGACGATTTTATGGACAATAAAATTTTAGGTCGTGTTAAAGATAATATAAGATTTACGCCGTTTGCAATTTTAATATTTTTCTGAACTTTATTACAGTAACTTGTAATTTCGAATGGTAGTGCATTATAAAGTTTCTGAATGTAGCGAATTTATAAATGAAATTATCAACAATTTATTATTTAGGTAGGGCTGCAAGGTTGTTTTTTCAGTTTCATTTTCATTCATTATTAGTAAATCGAAATAATATAAGAAATTTATTAAAAGTATTCATAAATGTTTATACTACAAATGATGAAAATTTTGTTCTAAGTCACACAGTAATAACAGTTCTAAGTAACACAGATAAAGGCATCTTTTAAGTGGACTATTAAATTATTTAAAAACTATAACCAAGAGGAGTACATGAAAAATAGTAGGTAATATTATTTTTAATGATATGATCAAGAAAGTTTCAATTATCTATATTTGTAAATCACCCGGAACATAACATACAGGTAAGTTGAATGCACCTACCTACACAAACACAGGTATTTACAATAAATACATACAATTTATACACATCAAAACGAATTCGTTTGGATGTGGGTGGCGTAGGTATTATTGTCATTCTCACGACATCGACATTAAATATTTTTCTGTTTTGCTATGCTCTATTATCTCTATTTTATATAACATTTACGTTTGTGTTTGTACAACTCTTTTACATTTCTGCTAGATGCATTTAATAGAATTAAATGAAGAATCTAAGTTTCTTCGCATACCACTGGACACAGGATTAATAATGTATCTATTTTAAACATTCATGTACTTGGTGCTCAAAAATTTTCTCAAAAAAAGCTGGATAATATAATAAAGTTGTAATAAAAGTGTAAATTTTGAGGTGAGAATACAGTTAGAAAAACTTGTACAATTAAAAATGTACATTTCCAGAGTTCTTATGCAACATAAGAGTACATAATTATGTACCTACTCGAATTCCCACATTTGTAATTACTTTTTGTAATACTATAGGACTATTTTAACCCCCCAAATATGAAAGTTTCTAAACAACCAATAGACATTTTACAAAACTGTTTATTTCGCATTTTCGACCAATTTATTTACAGAAAGATACAATAAAAATAATAGGTGCTGGAACACTGTTGAGCTAGTCTTAGAATTTTCATTTCGGAATGTGGTCTCCAACAGGTTGGAAGCCGTTTTCGTCTGCCGTGTAAGTGACCGTATACGTGACACCCTGCCACGTGAACGTGTACGAACCGGTCACTTTCATGATCTCATTTTCCGTCCCTTGGTTGGTCAGCTGGCCGGTTTCTTGCTGGGAAATTCCGTTGCTGGTTTCGAAACTGGAAAATTCAAACGTTTTTAAATACAACACAAATGTAACAAAATAAATTGAAGTTGTTATTAATTAAATGAGAGCAATTTAATTAGAATTGATAATGCTGTAATTGCAGTTTTTTTAGATTATAAATAAATGTACTATCGAAATAATTATCTTTCTATTATCTAAATGCTTCTAACAAAAAACTGCATTTGTTTAGGTAAGTGTACATGATTTTCTAATCAATGCTTTAATACAAAGTATACTCTTAATCATTTAATTGCACAATTTAAATACCTTTAGAGAGGGTACTTCAAAACAAGGGGAGATAGTGAGGTGATTTCTGGGCTCATTAGAATAACTAATCAAAAAATCATTACTTTCTTACAAAATTATGTAAAAAATATAAAAAATATTAAATAGAGTCGTAAAGGATAAACTTAAACCTAAATGTTTTTTATACTCAATTTTATCACTCACCTTTAACTTTTTAAATTTTAGAAATGTCAAAATTTCTATAAAAACACTCATGCAATCAATGACTATATGAATATTATTGATGAACATTAGGTTGAAATTTTATTAGGTAAATTAACTTACTCGAAGTTGTAGCCATCTATTCCTGAATTGTCGGAGTTGTATTTAGTAATTTGAGCATCTTTATCGGCTGCTTGGGGGGCGGCTAGAGCAACAGCTATCACAGCAGTAAGAACCAATATCTAATTCGATTAAAAAAAATAAATCACATATCAATCGCAAATTGTTATAATAAAATAAAAATAATAATCAAAAAACTTCTAGCAGTTTTTATATACAATGTTTCGTCTACTCATGTAATAGATCTTTATAAGTTACTTTTTTATTTTCTAAAATATTTCATTAGATATAATATTTTTTTAAAAATAACGATATATCCAACTCTGCATGAAACACAGAATTTCCAGGCACTTTCACACTCACCAATTTCATTTTCACGACCGGATGATCCGTAAATTATGTAAACACTGAAAATGCACAACTAAGTCTTGTTAGATTAAGCGCACCTCTTTTATATATACCCTTTTCAGCGTTTAAACAGCGGCTCACTGACATTTACCTCCCCCTTTCAAATGTGCACATCTTCATTTCTTTTTCTTTCCTTCAATTCGGCTTTCATTGTGTACAATTGTGATATAGAGGCGCATTAAAAGTTCATACGTAAGTCCGAGATTGTGCTTGGATCATCGCGTGCGGTATCACCGCTAACTGTAGGTAATAAGGTGAATTGATACACTGCTCAATGCAGTTGGGCAACCCTTTATTAGCATTTAGTAAATTGATAGGTAATTAGTATTTATTTTGATTGTATGAAAAATTGGTTCAATTTTCTTAAATTGTGTAACAATAATTATATGGTTTGTTGTACCAAGTTGTTGTACCATATTATTTGAGCAATTTAGAAGATTCATATCTATAATTTCGGTAGTTAAATAGGTGGTGTTTTTTTAATTTATTTTTAATGCTTGAATATTAGGCTTTAGAAGAATAGATCAATGTTGGTATACCATGTGGAATATCCTGTATAATTTACAGGTTTAATAGTTAAATATTTTAATAGGTTGGGATATTAGTAGGCTGGGATCCTAGAAAACCTTTACCTACCTAATACTCAGTTACAATAAAATTTCTATTGTGAGTTCTAACTTTATTGCATTTTGCAAAATTTTTATAGATTATCATTGACTCCATTTTTTTTTCGTTTGTTCGTGAACAAGAAACCACATTTTCTTCCACTTACCTAGATTCATCGGTATTTATTCTATAAATGCGTTATTATTAGTATTACAACATAGGCTATAGATTCTCATCTTGCATAATGATCAATGACAAATTCCTCATCTATTGAAAATGGAAATGGGATTCATAATTCAAATGTATTATCGTTTTCTTGTATTTAGTGTCCACATATACTGCAAGCAAGTGTAAGTAGGATATGTGTATCCGAAGTAATATAATGAAGAAATAACTGCGGTTAATGATTGACACACATGTGAAAAAATTTTGATTTAGCGTTTCGTGATGGGTCAATTACATAAGAAACTCATCTCCAAAATGCCGATATGAAATTGTTCTAAAATAATAAAACTTCTAATGCACAGAAATTGTTTTAAAAAATGCATTACTATGTAGTAAAGTCAACGCAGTAATATGCATGTGTCTTCATATTGAAAAAATGTACAGATTGCAATAATTTTATTACTTTATTTACTGCAATTTTTTACCACATATATGACAACTAAAGCAACTATAATATACTTTACATTACTACGTTTTTAAACTATTGTAAAATAAGGCGAAGGTGCTAGTATATCTAGGAAAAATGCGGTCTCACACTGATTTATACTTTCATAAACTATTTATCTAGGTACAAGAATCGTAATTATTTAAAAAAATTCACATCTTGTGCCTCCCTGATTTTAAGATTAGGGATTTAAGATTAGTCTTTAGATATTTTCTAATCATTCAAAAATGCGAATAATTGCATTTTACTCGGCCTTACATACAATGTTTTTACAACATGATTATAACGCCTAAATAATGTGATATTTAGGTTAAGGTAGATATAACTAATTTGTAATTATCAAATAAGCAGTTAAAATTAAAATTAACAAGCCTTTAACTAGATATTTATGTGCAGTTGTTGTTTTAAATCTACTGATGTCGTTAAAACAAAGTAAGTAGCTATACTGAATAATTTATTTACTAGTATATTTTAGATTTATGTTGATGTTCGCAATTATTATGTATACCTGCACAATTAAGTAAAAACTATTCAATGATTAATCTAAATCTAATCAAGATTTGTATTAAAAGATACTTGAGAACAATACTTGAGAAGATAAAAATTTTTGATGGACATATCATATATAATTTGGATGAAAACATTTGTAAAATATGGGATTTTTTTTAAGTGTTCACTATAAATAGGCAAGTTAAGTGATACTTGAAAATATGTGTTTTATTTTTAATGAATTTAACTGATCTATTTATTTCTCATTAAAAATTTGTGAATGAAATTTTAAATATTTGTAGACTTTGTAGTCACTTCTCAAAGGAGGAATTATTACACAAATAATCATTTTTTATAAACTTTCTTTAGCGCGAACAACAAATTTCGAACTCGTATATGGAAAATCAAATTTTCGCAAATTACAAAATTATCTTATCTAATCACAAAACAAGTAGGTGAATTATGAAAACGATCGGAATCATGCAGACCCCCGCTTATAAAATGAAGCTACATCCCACGTTTCAACGAAACAAGAACCAGAATAAACCAACTCAAACATGTTCATTACGCGGTCCTTAATTATATTGGTTCTAGTAACCACGTGCCTGGGTACCGAAAAAAACCAGCAGGGAAGCTTCGATGATTTGCTCAATTTAGTTAACGAAAACATACAGCGTTCTCAACAATATGTTAAACCCAAAAACAATTCCTACATGTCGCAAACTGAAGATGATAAACTGTATGGTAAGTATGTTTCTCATATTGGAATTACTACTTGAGTACCTGGTACAATTTTTTCAGATTATGGTGCGTTTGATTTCGTTATTGTCGGAGGAGGAACAGCCGGTTCAGTTATGGCGAGAAGACTGAGCGAAATCTACAAATGGAGCGTTCTCGTTTTAGAGGCAGGCGATAAAGAAAACCAGTTCACTGACATCCCTTACATGAACGTTTATACATTGAACTCGGAGTATAATTGGGGATACCAGACTGTTCCACAAAAAAACAGCTGTTTAGGTAAGATCTAAACACCCAAATTAAAAATTGTACCAAAAATTTATATTACCAATTCGATAAGGTATGGTGAATAAAACGTGCATGTTCAACACGGGAAAAGGCCTCGGAGGCTCCGGCATTCTGGGCGCCATGATCTACACCAGAGGCAACCGAGAAGATTTCGACGGCTGGGCGAGCTCCGGCCTCACCAGCTGGAGCTACCAGAACGTCCTTCCGTATTTCAAAAAGAGCGAACGCATACAAACCCCGGATTACGACGAAGGCTTCCACGGAACCCAAGGACCTCTGTGCGTCAATTACACAGCCCCCGACTCCTTAACTTACGGGAACTTTTTGGAGTCCTGCAAATTGGCGGGGCTGAAGAACATCGATTACAACGGCAGGCACCAAGTGGGGGTGTCCCGCGCTCCGATGACGATTGACTTCAACAAGAGACTGTCCGGTGGAAGCGCCTTCGTGTTGCCTGTTATAAACACAACCAGCAACCTCAATGTTACTTTACACGCGTTCGTCACGAAGCTCCGTTTCTCTGGAAACGCCGTCACCGGCGTGGAGTTCGTCAAAGACAAAAAACGCTACTTGGTTAAAGCCAAAAAAGAGGTTATTTTATCCGGTGGTGCCGTCAACACACCCCAATTGCTGCTTTTGAGCGGCGTGGGTCCAAAAGAAGATCTCGAGAAGTTGGGTATACCAGTTGTGAAAAACCTACCAGTTGGACAACGCCTCGTGGATCATCCTGCCTTCGCGGCGTTGTACATAAGAACCAATGTTACTACACCCATGAGGTCTGTTCCGGAGTATTTGAAGGGATGGACGGAGGGGCAAACTCCTTTTACTAGGGTTTTCGATAGCGATAGTATTGCTTTTATTAACACCAAGAAACCTGGATTTGAGCCAGCGGATATTGAATTGCTGACAACGACTGCACCTTTTAGTGTCCCACCAGGTAAGTCAACGATTTTTTTATGATTAGGTAATTGAATTTTTAAAGCTTTTTTTGGGGTATTTTCAAGTATTTGTAATGTGGTTTTTGATAGTTTTAGTTAGTACTTCAAGGGTTTTAAATAGTTTTTTTTTATATACGAGTAATAACAATTGTCTATGAATGTTGTAAGTTTTTTAAAAGATTATTAATGTTTTAAAGAAATTTTTAAATGTTCATGTTTTTTTGGAGTTTCAGAAGATTTATTTTAACATTAGGTATTTCCATTTTTTCAAAAGTTTTATAGGTTCCTTATTGATTTAAACAGTTTGAGATTACTTATATACAAAAGTTTTTGATTCTTTTCTGAAAATTTTAATATAATTCTCGAATTTATTCAGCATTTGCATCTTTTCTTATTTATTTCTAACGATTCTTTAGCACAAGGATTTATTAATCTAATTTTCTATTATGAGAGTATTTTTATAAGATTGCTAAGAATTTTTACGCCCTCGAATATTTAAAATCTTTTTTTTAATTAACAATATCAAATTACTATTGAACATATTCAAATAGATACTACGCAATTTCTAATATTCCAACTTTAAATTATTCAATTCCAATAAAAACCCTTACATTTCAACAACCCTCCACACAATTTTTCAACGAATTCATTTATCCATTCATGCCTTCCCGACCGGTTTGTAAACCCATTCAACATCATCACACATTCAATTCCGCACAACAAACGCGCCTACCGGTCCTTCACTCATCGAGTGATCGCTGGAGCGCCTACCGCCGGAGCTTCCCGTCTCCGCCGCCGGATGGCGCTAGTTACGGCTCGACGGCCGAGCCGTAGCGATCGGTTTGAACTAGCGACGGCGACGATAGGAAATCATACTTACCTGGCGTAGGGGTTACCGTGATCAACAAGGCGGTTCCCCCAGGATGAGGCCCTACCATTGCACTACGGCTGGGCTGACCCCTGCGATTATCCCTAATGCGGATAACTCGGGCGCGTAATTTTTGGTAGTCGGGACTGCGTACGCGCTGTCCCGGTGTTAAATAATCAAAACATAAATACACTGTCAACTTTTAACTTGACAGATTACCATGGCCGAATAGCCCTGGCAGCTGAGGGCAAGAATTTGTGAAGAAGAAAAGCTTACTTGATTTGATACTTTGACTGCAAAGTTTCGATATTCGATTAAAAAAAACGATTCTTTCTCTTGTGAAGGATCGAATAAGGACTATTTGAAATTTAAAGTATCAGAATATTCAAAGTTCTTCACTCACTGTGGCAAATATACTGCTCCACAAAAGTTAAGGAAGTTCACAAATATTGAGATTAATTTAAAAGTTGCAGGTTTTTTGATCGCCAAATTTAGTATGATTTGTATAGAGGAAGGGACAAAAAATCCACTCAGATATGAGAGAAAACAATTAATTTCGCATATTTGAAAATTTGGTCATCAAAATGTTTGTAACTTTTAAAAAAATCGCAAAATTTGCGAACTTCTTTACCTTTTGTGGAGCAGTTTAGAAAACCTCTACTTGTGATAATCATTTAAAAAGCTTACAAAAAATGCTATCCAATAATATAAATAATAATTGTACAGGGTGTATCAAAACCAAATTAATATCTTAACAATTTTGAAAACAAACACCCTTATTTTCAATAAGTGTCCTTAACCTAGGTACTATTTTTTAAATATCATCTTTCGTTTGTTACAAAGTCCCATAAAAGAATATATTACCAACAATCTTTTTAATTCACTATTTAAATTACAGGAAGTACATACAATTTGAACAAAATCTACTCAGATTCCTTCCTAAAATACAACACTTTAACCGACTTTTTGGTGTACGTGATACTAGTAGCGCCGAAATCGCAGGGAAACATTAAATTGCAATCCAACAAACCCGAAGACTTCCCTCTAGTAAATCCTCAATACTTCACTGACGCTAATGGCGAAGATATCGAGGCAGTGTATGAAGGAATAAAATTTGTACACAATCTCGTCGAGCAACCGCCATTGAAATCCATAGGAGCTCGCGTTGTCACCGAATCTCCCAGCTGCGAGCATTTGAAGAAATCGCAATTAGACAAGGATTATTGGTATTGCACTATACAACACATATCTACTCCGGTGTACGAACCCTCAGGTAAAATTCATCCAGCAGCTCAGCTTGATTGTATTTAATTTAGTGTTCTATTTGCAGGCACAACGAGAATGGGCTTGAACCCTGATGATTCGGTTGTAAATGAGAATCTGAAAGTTCACGGTTTTGATAATTTGCGGGTCGTAGATGCCGGGGTTATGCCCAGTATTGTTAGAGGATACATGCTGGGTTCTGTTTATATGATTGCTGAAAAAGCGGCTGATTTGATCAAGGAAGAATATAAAATGTTGTAAATAAAGTAGTAAAGTATAACTGATATTTGTTTATGCCTCAACCTAATGTCGCTTGGCAGCTGGAATAATTGTGAAGTAGGGTGAAATTCAAAGAAGGGCGAGAACTCAATTGACACACTAGAAGAGTAAAGATGGTAAGATTTCCAGTGGTGTAGGTAGTTGATTTTTATTTCATATTCTCAGTGTGATTTAAATAATTTTTCAAAATGGATTAGAGTTTAAGTTTAATTAATTATTCCTGGAACAATTATTACTAAAGATTCAAAATTAAACAATAATTCCTTAATTATTTATCAAATTACTATGCACAAAGAAGGTTACTGTAGTACAGAAATGGCGCATTTACAAACATTTTATTCATATTAAGCTTATTTTACAATCTTTAATCAATTGTGTGTTCGTGAAATTAAATAACCCGGGAAAATTTAATGTAAAAATGTATTCCCCGGCAATGTATTAAAATTTATAATTCGGCAGTTATCAGCAGGCGAGACTCCGTTTTTCTTTAATTTTGTTCTTTTTTCTTCCCCTTTTGCGCATCTAATGCAATTTTCAACTAATTATTTACATTTGAGAAACATTTTATTTGCTTCCTTTAATTACCTAATTAATTTAATCATAAACTACAACATTCTTAATTAGGTATATTGATTACATATTTCTTTACATAATTTATTTCTCTGCTAGTTCTTTAAATATTAATTTAATTCACACTTACTAACTAACCATTACTTTCCGCTCGCGTACATCTACTTTAAATTAATCACATATCATTTACTAATTATCGTTAGATATTTACTACATTTCTCTTATTATAATCGTTGAAAATATGCAAATCGTTGATTTGCCTTTACCGCATTCGTTAATCCTCTAAATTTTGGCCAATCAGTGTATTACATAAAGTAACAATAACCGCGCTTTTAATTAATTTGTGAATGATTTCCAATAAATGGTGACGTATCGATTATTTAGCTACACATCTGTTACAAGTTAATGTAGGAAATTGAAATTTATACGGCATTATGATAATTAGAGAGATTTTTGTTTTGGTTAATATGTAATATACGGATAATCTTGAGGAAGTGCTAGTGGGGCGATTATTTTAGGAATACTTATAAATTGGTAGAATTCTAAACTTTTTTGTTAGTTTCTTCTCGTTGCGGCGAATCGATTTAGGCGAAAATGCACCTTCAGTATTCGATTTGTGTAAGTTTCAATTAGTTTAAATAGTGTTTTTGAGAAAAATAATGTGATAGAATTTGGATTTTATCAGTGATGTTCGGCATTAAATGGAAATAAATTGTCTATGTTTACTAGGAGAGAGTGCTAAGTTTTTTTTTGCAGAATACTTAAAGTTAAATTTCCTATATGAGGATTGTATAATAATGCTTATAAACTTTGCTATTTAGATACCTGCAGATAAATAAATATCTTCCTATTTGAATAGAGAAATTGCAATCAAACACTATTAAGGTGTGATTTCTTTTATAGAATGCATATAAATTACCTTTTTAAACAATAAGAATTTATTTTTACAAGAATTGATTTGTTTAACGCTTTATTTTTTTAAATATCTAATTCAATTTGTTTTCTTATTTAGATCTTATTTAGTCTATTTGGGGTGTATCTTGCAGCACCAGCTGATCTATCAGATGCAAAATCAGCTAGAATATTAAAATTCGACCACGACGATTCCGGTAAAGGATCATACCGATACGGGTAAATATTATTATCTATACTTCATTTAAATTTACAAAACTACAATATCGATACGATGCCATATTGTATTATTGGATGTCAGACATAGACTTAATAGGTCTATGATGTCAGACTATACAAAATAGTAAAAATGTGATTTTTTTGGGTTTAAGGGTTGAGCACTAAAATCTGACTTTAGCTATCTTAAAAGCACTAAAATGAACAAAGAATATGAAACAAAAATCATTTTTCTATCTATATTTTTATTGATACTTTACTCTTGGATGTCAGACTACAAAATAGTAAAAATGAGATTTTTTTGGGTTTAAGGGTTGAGCTTAGTGCTGACATTAATCTGACATTAACTACTTTAAAAGCACTAAAATCATTGAAAAATTAGAGATCAAAATCGTTTCCCTATTGCTATGTTTAAATGTATTTTTTCTATGTTTATCTGTTTTTCTATTGACTACAATACGTTTTTATCAAGTATCTTTAAGAATAATTAAATGAAAATATGAATACCTTAAATGAAATTCTGAGTAGGCATTCGAAAGCACTAAAATAGCACTAAATTCCGATATATTATTTTTTAATTTTGTTTAAATATTTAAATGTGGGGGTGCTAGCTTTATAAACTTAGCACCGCAATTTTCAATCGCAATTTTCTGCTCAACCAGACGAACACTAAAATTAGGAAGTGGGCACTAAATTAGCACTAAAATAGCACTAAATTATGATCTATGTCTATATCTATCTATTTTTTATTTTTTTTGATGGTGGGGGTGCTAGGTTTACGCGGGTCATATTGTATTCATTTCCAAGCAATCCTCAGATTTTTTCACAATAACAGCAACTTTAAAATAATTTTTTCCCCAGTTTTCAAAGCAGCGATGGTGTGACAAAAGAAGAATCCGGCGAAATCCACTACCCCGGCACCAAACGCGAGTTCATGAAAGTCACCGGCGTATTCTCGTACCCCGGCCCCGACGGCGTGATGTACGAAGTCAGGTACACCGCCGACGACCAGGGCTTCCACCCGGAGGGCGACCACATCAAGGTGCCCCCGTTCGTCCCGTGGGTCCACCACGACGACGACTCCAGCGACACCAGAGACAGCGAAACGGGCCGGATCGACCAAGTCGTGCTGACCACCCCGAAGCCCACCCCCGAGTACCTCCCCACGGCCACGACTTACCTGCCCAGCTCGCCCAGCAGCACCCCGAAGCCGGTCTACAGCGCGGGGGAGAGCGTGCTGGAGGCCTTCGGCAGCGGCCCGTCGAGCTGCGTGGTGCAGCCGCCTCAATGCGCCGCCCCGGCGTCGAAGGAGGGTTTTGGATCCACGCCTGTGCCTACCGGTATATACCTGCCGTCCACCGGGGGGCCGGTGGAGGTTGGCGAGGTCAGGGGCCAGAGCTTCCTGAGCACTCCCAGCCCGAATCCTGAGGTGCAGTTTAACTCGACGCCGCCGCCGCAGTTGCGGAATTTCCGGGCCGCTGCGCCGGCGCCGCAGGTCGGGAAGCCTAACCAACCTATGATGATGCTGTTCATCGGGCCCATGGGGCCCCAGTTCATACCTATCATGAAGTAGAGGTGGGATATGTTAATTGAAGTACACACACTCAAAAATGTTTTGAGGCACTGGCTATTTATTATATGAAATGTCTTTTGTTAAATTGTTTTTATCATATTATGTTTTCTCGTGCATTGAAGCACCTGTCTTCAAATTTTCACTTCTGTACATCCAAAATCTTTCAAACTGCTGCAAATCTTTCACTCTGTCTTTTTTATTTTCAATATTTTAGTAAAGCAAGTTGGGTCAGATCGTAATATTTTGAGGCCCAGAATCTTCCCTTTCACTTTTGGACCATTACTTACGGACCACCCTGTATATACACTTTCAAAAATGTTTTGCATAAAAGCATAAACATTTAATACAACGAATTATTTGTAAAATTATTCATCAAGTTAGTTTCCAAAAGGCATAAAATTACCAATAAAAATAATTTAACAAAAGACATTTTAAATAATAAATGGGCAGTAGCATTTCAACTATATAAAATGCAAAACATTTTTGAATGTGTGTATTTTGTCATTAATCTTCAAAAAGAAACTAATATTCATTTACCGCCATATAAATTGTAAATCATTAGATTCGTTGTAAATATTTTTTGCTCTGTATATATTATCATCTTTATTCATATTCTTAAGGACATCAGTATTGTTAGGAAAACTATCTATATTTTCGAATTATGTAACTTTTCTTTTAACATCATAATATACAGTGCGACAGAAATAGCTGCATGCTTGAGAAAATGTGGAAAACTGCGCATGACAAATGTATCCACAGCTATTTCCATCGGACTGTAAGCACCTACAAAATGTCTATCTTTCAATTATGCATATACTTCTAAGGGATTTGTTTTTATAATCAATTAATTGCATTTTGATTGTGGTGTTTTATATATTTTTAGAAAATGTTTGTAATTGTAATTTTGATTGTTTTGTTAAGTTTGTAATACATTTTTTATCAATCTTATTGATCCATTTAGATAAGGTTTGGTACAGACCGGTAAAATACTATCAGTACAATCAGTATAATCGTATTTGATATATCTTGTGAGACAAGGATTAATTTGAATTTCGAAAAAATAAGTCAGTCATGACCATCTTCATTGGACTCTCGATAATCGAGCAAGAAATCGACTTTGTTCATCCTTGAGTGACAAGTGTTTTGCAAGATTATTTATCAATAATCCAATTCTCATAAAAGAAAAACAAACAAATAACTTTTTAAACATTAGCGTGATGTATGTTATGCTGAATTAGTATAGTATTTTTAGAAGAATAGTAAAAATTTATTCCAGATTGGCCATGCAATGGCGAAATATGATTAATCAACATTTGAAATTAAAATTTTTTAATTCTAGAAATAACATATTTTCGTAGTTTGCGCGTGACCCACTTGGACATAACAATATTCGCATTATGAAACATGCTGATCAGGAAATTTAAATATTACCTTTTAAACACTCTTCGTGAATTCAAGAATATTGAACGTGACAATTCATGACGTGAAGTATCGATTTTTCTCTTTCATCAATACGAGTTTATCTATTATTTAAAATGCTGAATCATTTTATACTATTTTAATGAGCGAATCGGGTTCCCACATCCTTCATAAACAACAAGGATCAAGGATGCTATTTAGCAAACATCCAGTGCATTTCGATTATTAAACAATACTTAATCGAGTTTTTGAGATGCGATCTACTAGAAAACGGATCTAAATGCATCGCGATATTATTTTCAAGGCTAGAGTAAATTAATTTCTCTAAATTAGATGATCTCGAAGTCACCATGAATTTTGTTTCTTGACTACAAAGCTTCCAGAAAAATCTGCCTAATTTTTTGGCACATTAGGTTCTTAATTAATTTTTACTTCTAGTGTACTTAGTCATGCTTCAATAGATACTTGAAGATTACTTGTAATGATTATAAGTGCAGGAAAATTGAATAACATATGTGTTGAGCCAATCAATAGTAGTTAGAAGTACATACTGCAAAGAGAAATATGCAAAAATTGTATGACATAACTTGCTTAATCAACAAATGTCCTATATAGAAATTATTGCTTCTTCATAACATCATCTTTTGCCATTATATTCGTTTCATAACAGGTTCAAAATGGAAAATTTTTTATTATTTCTTGATTGCGAGGTTGGATAAACGAATTTGGCAAATAGTTAAAATTTTTATTTTATTGAAGCGCATAAGGTAAATTGTGTAATATACCGGGTGATTTATGGATTCTTTGGATTTATTGGATTCGCATAAAATGCAAAAAAAATATTAAATAACAAGTAACATTTAAACAATATCAAATTTGAAATCTAAATTTGCATTTTAAGTAATCAACCAAGTTACAGGGTGTCTCATTAAAATACTTATTATTTGTCATAAGAGGGTGGAGGGTGAACTTTATCATTTTTTTGATATACCTACTGTATATTTATTTTCTTTAGAATCTTTTTCTATCTTTCTTTAGAATTCTTAACTCAAAATTCCCCTCAAAAAACATATTAGGTACCTACCATATTTTTTTCAACACCCTGTATACTCATAGAAGATGTTACCCCATACCTACATGAACAGAGTTCTTTTTTACGAGCGAAAGCTTTCTTAAAAGGCTCTCTTAACTCCACTATTATTGATGATATCTTGCAAACAAAAATTACCAATCTCATAAAAAATGTATTTATGCTAAGCGATAACCTTTCATCTACTTCTAATTCTAATTAACCAATTTTGCGAAGGAACATTTTCGAGTACCAAACGTGGGGACACCATTATTTGAAAGTATATAAATATCCAAAAGATCGAATGGCACCATTACCATTCAACTAAACACATCATGTTACTGAAAGCGGTGAGTTGGGCATATTTCATTTACTAGATATGCGAAGATGTTTACAAGATTTTAGTGCAATTAGTAGATATGTAATTAAAAACAGTTTGAGTGATCTGAGAGGCCAAGTTAAAGTGATGGTTATAGTGAAAGAGTGATCGCGTTTGGTTAAGAAATTTAAAGTGAAACATAATGAATAATATTCATTTTTAATTGGATTAATAATTACGTTGAAAAAAATATTAGATATTTCAGAATTCTTCCAATTATGATCAAAAATACTTAAACAAAAGGCTTAAAAACTTTTGGGAACCAATGATTAACTTTTGAATCCAAAAAATACTTAAAAACTGCAAGATTTTTGAAACTAACTGTTAAATTATTTTTAAGATTTACATACATCTTTTTTACACAAAATTTATATTATCTACTAATTTACTGAAAATTTTTAAATTTTAATTATTGTGTAATGTAATGTCCCATTAAATTCACTAAGTAACCAGAAAAATAAGCCACTCAATAACAGCAACAAAAAATATTAATTGCCCATTCACATTAAATTTTCCTTAGAGAAATCTTCCTGAACATTCAAGTTTTTAAAAATTTGCACATCACGATATTAATAATTCTCACTTTACCATAATAATATATGCTCGCATCTCTTTTGATTAGGCAACTTGAAAATTTCAATTAGATATTTCGTACCTAATAATAATATAAAAAGTCGCGGAAGAATTATGCAGGGTAAATTTAATTCTTAAAGTAAAAAATCATGACTATTCACAATAAAAGTAGACAATATTTCCTATAATTATCTAGTCAAGTATTATATTTTTTGCGATAGAATTATTCTTGAGCGTAAATAATTGAGGTTTGGTGCTAATATGAAAGTCAGACGTCATTTTCATATCAAGAGTAATTTTGATTGACCATCCAAAAAAACTATTCTTAGTATAATCATCTTGAAATAAAGTTCACTTTTTACCGGACATCTGCGATTAATGACTGGATTTTTTTGAGTATTTTAATTGAGAGAAATTTCAATGTTAAAAAATTTATCCAGTGCTAATGATATGGGAAATTGTAGATTGATTTACGAACAACATTTGCACCCAAAAGAAATTACTCGTCCGATAGTCTTCAATATATTAGAACTTTAATTACACCTCTGTTATCGCTCGTGGCGGTCAAATTCAATTACAATAACGCCGTGCAATCGGGAAACTATTACCCAAGAACAACTTTCTGTAACCCGAAATCCTCTCGACGTCTCACGATGATTAATTAATCTCAGCGAATCGATTAAATCCTCGATCGGCTCTTGTAATATTTTGTGACAAATACCCAAATCGCATCATTTCGAAACGATGTCAACATTAATTTTTCAATTGTAATTATACACATATTACCTACATATTCGGTACGATTTCATCACGGCAGATTACAAACGAATTAATTCGCAATCTTCAGAAACGAGAAATTTTAATTATCTGCTAATTTTCAGGTGATATTCGCTTTTTTACTGCTCGCCTTCGCATCGGCTCTGCCGCAACGATCCAATTTGAGATCGAAGGCCAGCTCTAAAACCACCAATGTCGGATCCACTTCGGACAAAGAATTAGACACGAGCGAATCCAGAAGGACAAACCAATACGAGGATCAATACGATCAAAGCAAACAATACAATTACAATGAAGAATACGACAGGGAAAATCAAGGATCCAGGAACAGGCGACAGCAGTATCAAGATTCAAGAAACGCTTATATAACTAGATACGATTTTGATACTGAAGGTTATGGACAATACAATTATAAGTATGTAGATAACCTAATTTTTGCTTACTTATATTCTTACCTTGCTGCCAAATTACAATAGGAAATATTAGATAAAGTTATTTATTGAATAAGCTTTGAGATAAAATAAGATTGTTTTGTCGTGAATATTCAAGTTTCAAACTATTTACTATACACTATGAAACAACTCGACTAAAATACTTGGTCAAACTACTTGAGTATACCACTATATTTTAGATTTTGTTAATTTGCTTATTAGACTATCTAATACTAATAAGTTTCGGTTTTCAGTGTAAGTCAAAGCGATGGCATTTACAACGAGCAGCACGGTGAGGTGGAAAATCAAGGAACTGACGATGAATCCTCGAGAGTGTACGGTTATTACGCGTATCCCGGTCCAGATGGAGTGTATTATTACGTGGAGTATGTAGCAGATAAAGACGGTTTCCGACCTGCTGGAGACCACATTCCTAAATCGGCCAGCGTGGGAAAAGTCGGACAATTAGGCATTCCTTCTGCTGCTCTTGCTTCGTTGGCTGGAGGTGGTTTAGGATAAGAGATTTTTGTTGTTGTTATTAGAAAATATGTATGTCTAGTCCCTGGTAAGCCCGATTACTTATATTAGTGCATATTTTATTGCATGTCCAAAATTAGCATCGTATAATAGTCTTAAACCATATTGGATTGACTCTGGAAACATTGTAAACGAACTGTGTATATTTGCTTTTATATGCAATTCATATAAATAATTTCGTACAATTAACTACATCTCTCAGCAAACTAAATATACTATACAATATTATAAGTTAATTGGTAGTTTGGTTTTTGTATAGACCCGTACTCTGTAATTCAATCCGGTCAAAACGGAAGCAGGAACATGAATTATAACAAAATTTGAATGAAGCCCTCCTTGAATTATTTCAGGCTTGCCATTGCTACTTTCTTCATCATCGATCTAAAAAATAATTATAACAGATAGTGTTATCATATCCATTGGTGTTAATAGATACCTATCATATTTAGCTATGGTTTGTAAGATGTTTTTGTATCGATAAAGGTATCAACTTATTTTCATCATTATTTCAACAATACTTGAATTATTTACCACAATGCAGCTTATACTAGTCTTCAGGAAGCCTATCGTTGGGAGACGCACGAATAGTGGTGTTCTAATTGTCGAATTAGCACGCTGGTCGGCCGCTAAAGTACCTCTGAAATTGAAGTTTTCATCATTAGCAGAACATACTCTCTATTGTGTAAATTAATTATCTTTTTATGTATGTTATATTGAATTACTCACGGATTTTTCGGATCGAGGCAAACCGTAAGGCCGTAGTTCAATTTATTAATGTGATAGCACTGATTGTTGTTGAACAAAAGAACGATTAAACAAATCGCTACTTCAATTTTGAACATTTTAAGAAAATTTACTGCGAAATTCTGCAATAATAATGAAGGAATATCTATAAATAAGATATGTATCTGTCTGTGATGTTCTTATCGATGCCAATGGAATTAATTTCGAAGTATCTATTAAGAGCATCAATAACAAATAAAAAATCGAAATTGAAAGATAATGGATACCTAAATTATTAATTATAAGTAATAAATTATTTGTTAAGATAGGTAAAATCTTCACAGAATTAATGTAACTTGATAAGAATACCTGGTAAGAAAATTTCAGCAGATCTCAAATATGATAAAGCAATTGGTTCAATTTTTTAACAAATTCAAGCATTCGAACCAATAAAATTACATAAAACCTATAAAAAATTGAAACTCGAATTTAAAATTTATATAATTTATTTATCAGATTTATCAAATTATTTAATGGATCAACAAATGTTGAATTCTAGAATTTTGGGGAAGATGCAGCGCTTGAGGAACTGCCTGCTGTGGTGGTTGGTTCGTTCACGTAGACTTCGATTTTGTAGTCCAAACCACCGAAGTGGAAAAGATCGCGTGGAACTTTAATTTCAACGAAGTTGGAGCCAAGACCTCCTCCTACGATAACGGGGTCGCTTCCAGTGCTGCCGTTGTCAACGATCTAAACATAAATTACATTATTTCCCTAGTCGAATGCTATTACCACATTAAACTTGAAAAATCTTGATTTTCTGAAAATAATGGCTAACGGAAATAATGATTCCAACGATTCTTATTCAACTTTAAATTCTCTAACTTAGCCAGCCTTTAACATTCCGTTGGTTATTATGGATCAATGGAGTAAAAAAAATTATTTTGAGATTTTCTGATATCTAAAAGGGGCGCTGAATATGGACTATTTTGATCAAGTTGTTATATTTACCAAGATGCAGCTAATTGAGTCTTCCAAAAGACCAGTTGTTGGGACACGGATATCGATGTTCTGAAGGTATGGCTTTTGAACATGCTCGTTGGCAACCAATTTTCCTCTGAAAACATAACAATATTCATAAAAAATGCACCAAATTTCATTCGTTTATGAAAGAAGACTTGAACTAATAAATACATGTTTGGTTGGACTTTTTGGTACGATAAGAACCCCTAATTTTACCAGTATGTACCATTCTAGGTATGTCTGTCATCGAACAAATCCAACCAAATGGTTATTAAATTTATAAAAAATAACTTACGGGTTCTTTTGGTCAGGACAGTTGGTGAGGCCATGGCCGATTTTGTTTTGAGTGTACATGCCCTGTACACCGCAAGCCATAAGGCCAACCAAGCAAATAGCTAATACTTTGAACATTTTGTTATCGATACTGAACGCAAAATTCTACCAAACGAAGAGAATCCGCCTTATATAACACCCAAACTCATTTGGGAAATTTTTATCTCAAAGAGTTCTTCTCTTCGACCTTGAGACCTTGAATAGTTATCAGCGATTATTAATAATGCTTAAACATTAATTGGCCTTTGTATTCTAAAATATAAGACACTTAAAATTCGATTATTATCAATACCAACGTACGTAATATCGACATACGTAATTTGCACCTTTAGGTACTCGTGTAAATTTCATATTGAAAAGTCAGTATGGTTAAGAATGGGAAGAATGGAAATTGAGAACAATAGAGTGGTAATTCCAAATTACAAATTCTAGAAGAATTTTCTTTAAATCACAAATAAGGCAACTGATTGGCTCGATTGGCTAATCTGACCTTTTCCTTTTCAATGATTATCCAGCTTATACTTTGAAATTTTTAGCAGTTTACATGCTTTCTTATTTATTTTGCATTTTTTTATCTTTACAATACAGTGGTAATTCTAGTGAGAGAATAAGGAATCAACTGCAATTTTAGTTGCCTAATTACATCTTACTAAAGTATAAATATACTCAACAGAAAAACAATATAAATAGTAGCTTTCTTAATTTTTATTGAACAATTTTACAAATTCTATTATTGAATAATTTTACAAATTCTAGTTATCGCTGCTTGTGTAAACTTGAATTTTGTAGTCAATCGTTTCAAAAAGAGCACGTCTAAGAGTTATTTCGGCGAAATATTCTCCAAAACCTCCAGCATTGAGTCCTGGATCCTCCTTAGATAATTTTTGATCGACAATCTGAAAATTACTGTGTAATAAAAGCAGTAAAGGGCATATAATAACTTACTAAAATGCAAGAAATTTTATTTTTGTAGAACCCCACATCTGGCACTCTTAAAACCAATGTCTTTTCCGCAGTATAAATTAAATCCTCCATTAGATCTCCCCTGTAATATTAATGAAAAAATGTTAAAGCTGAACGAGTATTGAGTTGTATAACAACTTACGGATTGTCTATATTGGGACATTCGATCAGAGTCCTATTTCGTTCTTCCGCACATTCGATATTGTTTACCAAATAAAGAGATACTAAAATAATTACAAGTAACTTTGACATCGCAAGTTATTGTTAAATTCAACAGTAATAAATCTTAGTGCCTGCGATTGCTGAGAAGATAAGTGAATAACAAAATTGTCGAACATGCCTTTAAAACGTGCTTTCATAATATCAATTTTAGATATTACTGATAGGCATGTAAGTATACCAGCCTACATACATTATAGGTATTGATTGTCGGTACTTAGTCTCTTTAAAATGATAGGGATTAAACTTAGTACCTACTCGCAGATTTATTTGTATTAATTTTTTTATTGGGGAGTAGATTATATGCATTACAAAGTGATTGAACATTGTAGATTGTACCAAACTACACATACCTACTTATAAAAAACACAACGAGTTGTTTTTCTTGATATAAATTAACATCTTAAGTCTAAGTACGCTGAATTGAATTTCGAATAAAGAAATAAATTCATAGTAACATTTTATTATATTTTTATCTTATGTAGCAAAGTATAAATTATTTTCCTATAATAAATAAATCCTTAACTCTTTCTGGTCGTAGGAATCCTATGATGTTTCATTTGCCCGGGGTGGATAAAGTAGTGGCAGCACTACTGGTAGTTGGTTCATTCACATAAACTTCGATATTGTAATTCAGTCCAGAAATTAGGTCTGCAGCAATTAGAATTTCCACATAATTTGAGCCAACTCCTCCTTGTGTAATGACAGGCGTGCTACCGCTGCTACCCTGGTCTGTTACCTAGACAAAATGAAGTCGCATTTATACGTTGATATTTTTAATTATACTCTGTATTTATTATGAAATATTTATTCTGGAATTTCTCACCAAAACGCAACTAATCGTATTCTCCAGAAGACCTTCTTCTGGAATTCTAACACGGATACCATTCCACAATACTTTAGTGACATGTTCCTGTGCAACTAATTTTCCACTGAAAAATAATACAAACTGTTTCATTTCGTTAATAACAAAATACAGGAATTTATAGAGCAAGCTAATTCAAAATATGCATTTGAACATAAGATTATATGTAGAAAGACTTACGGGTTTCTCTCATCAGGACAAATGCTCAAACTTCTGTGATAATTCTGCAGGTAGAGTCCTTGAATGCTTTCGGCTAGGATGCCGAAAAGGCAAATAGCAAGTACAAATTTCAGCATAATGATTAAGGATTTTTAAAACCAATTCGCTAACTGATCCAGTGACATAGATTTATAGACATTTTATAACGTTGTCGTTGCGGTTATCATTTAATAATTTTTTATTGTTTACACGCACGCGAATTTTTTTATCTAAATTTTTTGAATATTTCGAAAGATACCTATATTAAATTAAACATAATATCCTAATAGCAATAATACTTTGAGTGAGAGATGAAAAATGTATCCTTTAATAAAAGTTTTGTTTAGCTACCGAAAGTCCTATAACAGCCCAACTATGGGTGCTTTTTATTATTTTATTAAATAATTATTTGAAATAGTACATGTCAATGAATAAAAAATTGTCTCCTTGTAAAAAATATTTAAAAATAAACAAGTAATTAGAGAAACAAGATAAATATGGAGATTTTTCTCGAGCACTTGAAACTTATTTGCGTCGTATTTGTGCACAAACAGGTTAAAGAGCATCAATAGAAAATTAAATACTAGATTGAATGTTTTCAGCTAATTCTCCAATTAAAATTCAACTCTTAATAAATATTACATTGACGAATTCGCATTTAAATTATCTTTGCAATAATAATCGATGCCTCATATTATTGGAAAAATTAAAAGTAAATATTTTTAATGATGCAAAAAATGCAAAAAATGGTGAGATTTTGCTTCTTACTAAAACTCTTCTGTTAGTACATTCTCATTTTATTTATTCATTATCTTATAACATTTTTACACTTTTTATTATTAACCAGTATAAATTTCAAATCTGTATTTTAGTTGTTCTAGAAGCCAAGGACCTACGGTTATCTCGACAAAAGAGTATCCTAAACCTCCTTGCGTTATGACTGGGTTACTGTGACTATTAGATTCATCGATTGCCTACAATAATTCATAGAGTTTAGCAATATTGAATTCGGATTAAAATTTACCAACCAAAATACAGGTAATGTTGTTGTCATAGTCTCCACTCTCGGGAAAACGGACTTTAATGGTTTCGAATAAATTTGCTTTAATTACTAAGTCATCCTGTTTTGTGCCTCTAAAAAGAAAATTGAAACTTTAGCAATAGGTAGGTACTTACATTTCTAACTATAGTAGTATAGTGTGACTCGAAAAATTTAACTTACGAAGCTGTTCCACCAGGACATACATCTAATGATCTACTAAATGCTGCATGAAAAGTGCAGCAAAGAAAAAACAGAAGTACAATTTTCATGATTGCTTGAAGTTCAACTAATTTATACACGCGTATCTTACTAACATAAAATATAGTTAGAAAATGTTTAGGTCCCCTTTAAATACATATAAATTAATAGATAAAAGATAGTCGATCAAATAATTAAGTGAATTACTAATTTGCTAAAAATGCATGTAGTGTTATTAGTTTATCGATGCATTAAGATAGGGTTTTTTTATTCATAGATCTAAATTTATTTCAAAGTTTAAGAACCTTCATGTGTTTGTCTACAATCAATATTATATTTAGAAAAATTAAGCAAATATTCTTAAAGGACTGGTTTTAATAATATACTTGTATTAATTCAATTTTATAGGTACAAAATATTTTTTCTTCGACTAATTGGCTCAATTATTCATAGTCAAAAACCATTAAGATTTCAACAATTATATCTAAAGCGACTATCAGATTTTAAAATTCTTAATCTAATCTAATTTACTACACATAAAACATGAAAAATATGCTTTTGCAAATACCTAGAAAATTTATTTTGTCCTTATTTTAAAAAATAACACTCTAAAAACTTATTTGTAATACTTCAAAAATTTTAATCACTATTTATTTTTAAATTCCATTAATTTTCCCATTCTTTTCTTTACCTAGATACTAATTTCCATGTTCATTGTAGCATCTCTACAAAACCCCGATTCATCAAAACCTATCTATTTATATTATGTACCTATCTAACCGCATACAACAAGAAAAATATTCATAAATTCACGTCTCCCTCCATGTACTCAACAACAAAATAAATATTGAGGTAATCTGCAAGCGCACTGCTAAATTGCAATTGCGCAAGAATTGGTGTGCATGTAATTAATTAATAGGATATTTTAATGACAGTTTGGACAAAGATGTTATATAAGATGAGAGATATTGCATCACGTGCGGTCTGCGAAGCCTCCACAATAACCGCAAATATTTAAAAATAGCCAGTAAATAAGCAGTGTTAAATTTTACCGAAAAATAATTCGATAGATTTGATATTGGGATTTATTGAAAAAAATATATTAATTTCAGTAGTAATGTAGGTTTAAATTTATTATAAGCATCTAAATTTAACTCTATAATATAACACTTTTCTAAACTGTAATATTGTTTTAATTATTTTTGGGTAAGTGTTCTCCGGATGCTCTGTATCCATTTTCGTCTGCGATATAAGATACTTTATATACAGCTCCATCTGCACCAACATATGAATAAGAACCTCGAACTACTAATGCTTCATTTTTGTTGCCTGCTTCTTTAATTTCTGCTTCTTCTTGTCGACTACTTCCATCACTGGTTTCATACCTAACAAATTTATACCTATAAGAATCATGTCCATTTCCTCAAACCTTTTAATCATCCCATCCTAGGCTACAGAACATAATTTGGATTCGTTTGGTTTAGTATTTATGATTAGTGATAAAGGAATTATACATAATTTTGCACTTAGTGGCTTAGTAACACTTAGTAATAGATTATAATCTATAGTTAATGAATTATTGACGATAAAACTAGTATAATAAGTGCAAAAAGTGCGATAGTTGGAATAAATACTTACGAAAAATTATAATTCAATAATCCTATGTTATTTTCATGTTTCACAATTTTCGAATCTTTGTAATTGGAGTTAGCCGCTGGTCTGTTTGGATATTGGCAAGTGGAAATAACAAATAATGTTAACAATATGTAGAAACTCTGAAAAGAAATAATAATGTTAACACACCGATCATTAATATCAATATAAGTACATACTAAAGCATTCATTTTGGCCACACTCTCAATACTACAAACCTTTTTTGAATCGAAACGGCTTTTATATCCGAAAAATGTACCCCAATTCACATTGCAATATCCTGGGATTATTTCAATGCGGTTATTGTTTGATATTAGTCGATTCCGATTGATAAGGACAATTCAACACGGTTCAATATCCTGCATTCGAAAAGATTGGCAACTGCAGGTTCGTGGGCGTTGGATAAAGACAATAGAAAACGAGATCATTGTAAATATTTTTAGGATAAACTATGTGCAAATACCTATAAGATTTTTTTTTTTAAATTAGTGAAATAATATACAGGTCGGTTCATGGAGTCAATATTGTTAATACTGTTAGTTATTTAGCGACCTTTTGAAGCAATTAAAAAGCCAGTGTATAGTTAATTTTTAATATTTAATTAACAGCATACAAAATATATTTCGAAATATGTTTAAGACATTAACGTTTAATGCAATCCTTCAAGAAATACTACTGTTATTAACTAGTAAAAGTGTATGGTAATTCATACAATGTATTACATTTTTACCAATTAAAATGGCAATAGAGAATACCAGCTGCATCAGCAAATTTACGATTAAATTAGATATTCATTAGAAGCTTTCGGGGAAAACTAATATCCGCGAATCAAATATGTTTAACAACAATCCGCTAATTGACCTGCAGACAATTTACATCACCATCACCATCTCGAATTCCATTCTTTAGTACTTAAGTGTGAAAGCTGTCTGCATTATTTTACCATACAATAGGTCACGGTTACTTAATGTTTATGCGCGATAATTATGCAGGACTTTTGCCGCAGATATTATTTAATTCGTGGTCCTTGAAGTGCATGGATCCGATTCATTTGTCCGGCGATGCAGATGCGCGCCGATTAGAGATAAGTTAATAAATGAGTTTGGCATTTCGACTTTACGCATTTAAACAAATATTGGGCTCATTACCTCGTTATTATGGAATATTAATTGCGCTGTAAATCATTTGGTGGATGACGGAGGAAAATCGCGATAGGGAATTAAGAAAAATCATTTAATAAGTCAATTGATATAAACAGAAAACTATAGTAGAGAGTAGAGAGTGTCACAAAAATATGTCATCAAAGACATATTCTGTACAATTTTTTATGAAGAAGAGTTAAGGCATTATGGCTCAATATCAAATAATTTCTTTTTTATTTTTAACTTTAGCATCCTGTAACTTCTTTACTAAGCACTTTTGACTATAAGTTAGGTTAAATGAAATCGTTTTGATCATGATTGTTGTTTCTACTTTGTTCTTCTACTGGTCAATCTTCATACCTCCCCTGTGTTGCATCGCCTATCGTTCGATGGGCATCTGCATTCTGCATTTTGCATCTGCAAATCAATCACCTGATGCGCAATTACTGCGGTAGGTCGTTGCACCGACGCCTGCGTTCCATCTTTCGCTTCCAATCTCTTTCGTTTCGAATTTCGTCAACCGTCGAAATTCAAAGTTCACGTGGGAGGCAAACGCACACATACACACATCGGCATAAAAGTCAATTATTTAACGCGGGCTTGCATGCAATTACCTAGATTGTGACAATGGGGATTCGTCGTTGCGGGAGAACGAGTGAGGGAGAATCGCGGAAATATAAGTAAGTTTTGCCGGCCATCGGGGTTAGTTGGTTAGGTGGATTCCAAGTAGACTAATAGCCGATAGAAAAATGCATTTGGTAGGTATTTATTTGTAGTTGATTGATGCGTTATTTTATTAGTGTCGTGTTGTTGGATATCCAAATTTTGGTGTTATATTTTACCACTTTGCGATGCTGAAATTTATCCCTTTGGGATAGATACAATATAAAAAATCTATAAGTAGACAAAATAACGACAAAAAAAATTTTAGAAGTAGTATAAAATTTCATATTTTCTTCGAATTTCTTGCCTAGATCGCCGTCTTGATAGCCATCGCAGGAGCTTCGGTCGCCCAACAACTCCAAGGTGAACCAATTCCTATTGTGAGATACGAAAATGAAGGTGTAAACGCCGATGGATCGTACAGTTGGAGGTAATTTAAATTCATTCATTTGCTATTTTTTTACTTATCCTTTCAATCAGCGCAAATTTATCCATAAATTTCCAAATATTTATACCAATAGAAACTTTTCTTGATACTACTTGATTGAAACTCAGACTTATACTAAAAAATATAGCTCCATAGGGCATTTCTTAGCGCACATATAGGTACTATATCTAGTATATCTATTTATATCTGCAGTTTTGAGACGGGCAACGGCATCCAAGCTCAAGAACAAGGACAGATCAAGAACCAGGGTACTGAAAACGAAGGGCCGAGTGTACAAGGATCAGTGCAATACACCTCAGAAGACGGTACTCCGATATCTCTGACTTACGTGGCCGATGAGAACGGTTTCCAGCCCCAAGGGGACCACTTGCCTACACCGCCGCCTATTCCAGAAGCTATCCAAAAGGCTCTGGAATGGAATGCGGCGCACCCGGAGGAGGACCAGGAAAACGAAGTGGGTAGAGCTCAAAGGCAGGTGTCTGATAGAGCTGAATACAATGGTAATCAACGGTACTACAATCAAAGGAAGGAGTTTAATAGATTTCAGCGAAAATTTTGAAGGAAGTTTTGTTGTAAATGTCTGCAATACGACTGAGACATTATGAAAATATGTACTTAATTGAATTTTGTAAATAATTTAACTGTTTTTTTAATAAAATAATGTTGAAGGATATGTTTGAATTATTTACGTCTTGGAATCCTTATGATTGCATATTAGGTACTATAAACTTATTTATAGTCTTTGTAATAAAAATAACCAGTTTATTTTCACAATACATGTATATTAACGAAAATATTTCATATTTGATACTTTAATAGATAGCTTTAATAATAATAAGTCGCCCTAGGGAGGTTTATCAGAAAAAATTGGGAAAAATATTGGAAAAATTTCAATAATATAATAATTAAAATTAATTGAAAAATGAGGAAAATGGTGGTTGGTCCTTTAAAACTCCCATTAAAACTATTCTGTTAGTATTACATGCTCATTATTTATTCATTATCTGTTTATAACATTATTTACACTTTTTATTAACCAGTATAAATTTCAAATCTGTATTTTAGTTGTTCTAGAAGCCAAGGACCTACGGTTATCTCGACAAAAAAGTCTCCTATACCTCCTTGCGTTATGACTGGGTCACTGTGACTATTAGATTTATCGATTGCCTATAATAATTTAAAAAGTTTAGCAATAATTTATGAATTTGAATTGAAATGTACCAACCAGAATACAGGAAATTGCAGCGGCGTATTCGCCCGTCTCAGGAAAACGGACTTTTATGGGTTCGAATAAATTTCCATTAATTTCTCGAGTGTCCTGTATTGTATGCCTAAAAAATGAAAATTTAAACTAGCAGTATATTTCTAACTAAAGTAGTATTGTGTAACTTAAAAAATTGAACTTACGAAGCTGCTCCACCAGGACATTCTTCTAATGATCTACTAAATGCTGCATGAAAAGTGCAGCAAAGAAAAAACAGAAGTACAATTTTCATGATTGCTTGAAGTTCAACTAATTTATACACGCGTATCTTACTAACATAAAATATAGTTAGAAAATGTTTAGGTCCCCTTTAAATACATATAAATTAATAGATAAAAGATAGTTGATCAAATAATTAAGTGAATTACTAATTTCCTAAAAATGTAGTGTTATTAGTTTATCGATGCATTAAGATAAGATTTTTTTATTCATAGATCTAAATAGATCATTATAGATAGATTTCAAAGTTTAAAGACCTTCGTGTATTTGTCTACAATCAATACATTATATTTAGATCATTTAAGAAGACGCTCTTATAGGACTGAAAGGGTTAAATAAATTTTTGACCTGAACATGGTTGAAAAATTAAGAGTTTTACCGCAAACCCAAACCTACACTTAACCGCCTATAGTAGATAGATTTTGATCAATATTTTAAATCGGGCAATATATTCTTATTATTTTTAGTTTATTACGTAGATCAAAATTTGTCAATTCGAACCAAATTTTCTACCTGCGCCTTCACATTCATTTCATAATAATTTCTCTGCAATTTTTCCCAGCTATTTGTGTAAATTTTAGACACTCCATAATAATTATATTATGTTGTGCATTATATGACAATAGATTTGAAATATCTACTAAATTGCAATTTCTACACATTACTTTTGTTTCAATTGTCATAACACCAAATTTTTTACAGGTTCTACCAATTCATTACCACGCCATCAATAGGCCTAAATTACTTTTAAAATTTCAAATCAACGAATAGAATGTTGACGAAATTTTCTATTTCGGCCAATTTGAAAGCAAATCGCAAATTTAGAATTGCCAAATAAAAAAATCAATTATGATGAATATTTGTTGCTTTACCTTGACTAATTTTATTGGCTATGTCCAATTAGTCGAATTGAATGGTTCTCGTATAGACATGTCGTTTATTTGATTTGAAGAATAGGTTTCAGGTTTTATAATATTAGGTAATGCAAATAAAAGATTTAATAACAGGCGTTTTTTGATTGTTGGTCAAGTGGGCACTCGCCAAATTGGCGGTTACAAAAACAGTGCTAAAATAAACTGCAATTTAGAAGAATCTTGCATGGAGTAAATGGAATTTATTAAAAATTAATATGATTAAATACTGCAATATCAAATTACATCATAGTATTCTTTCAAAATAGACAAGTTTAGATAGTGATGCGATGGGATTAAAATAACATAAAATGTTTGTGGTTAATAATAGAAATTACTGTCACTTATTCAAAAAAATGGTTAAATATTAGTTTGAATGTTAAATGCTAGTTGCAAATATGTAAATGTTATTTTGTAATAAATCCAATAACACCAGATTATTAATACTCCCATATAGAATCCTCACAAGACGTCTAAAATGAAGAAATCGTTTGAAGAAACTATTCCTCAAGAATTTGGTATACCTTTTGCAAAAAACGCTTTGAAGAGACTGATGAAATTCCTCTATTTTGGTGGGTAATCAAAAATTCTAAATTTCCCGAAACTCATAAACCCAATAAAACACAATAGATAATTCTCTCATTTCAAAATCGAATTCGTCGAAAAATTTCTCTTCAAGGCGCGGTAAATCCGCACTAATCCCTAGCCTCAGACTTTCTCGATGCGCGATAACGGCGAGTCACCGAATCGTTTGTACCCGTACGAATTTTTTCAGCAATTTTTACATTACAAAATTCCAATTATCTACCTACCCATCCTTTTTGCGGTCGAATCGAATGCAACGCCTCTGACGAAACGATCGCCCGGATTTTTCGAGCATCTCGACGACCCGTCATGCAAGCGTGTTTGCCGAAGAAATTATTGAAACTTGAAAAAAATGTCATAACTTGGCCACCGATTACGCGCGAGCAAACAAAGCGGAGGTTATTAATTAAAATCACCTTCATTGAAGACACCTGGTGCTCGTAAAACTAATTAATCGCGACGCCATTAAGTTGATATAGCGCACGACAAACAAAATCGATGACAAATGGGGGTTTATTATTCAAAATCAAAACGCCGGATCTGATTTGAATATTGAGAAATACCTAGTATACTGCTAATTGACTCCTTAACGAGCCTATCGTAATTAATTAAATATCTTTTAGTGAGGATTCCGCGATGCAAGATGCGAATAAATGAAGATGAACAAATCGAGGATGATTTATATTACCTACTCACTGGTCCTAATGACTTTTCTTTGAATAGTTCACAACACCAAATAAACTTATTTTTAATTTAACTTTAATGTTCATTAACAACGTAAGCCTAATTGCAGTAACTGAATGGCTAATTTTCTTCGGATTACCCTACTTTAAAAAATTAAATTTGGTAGAGCCGAGCCTTGATATTGGCCCGACATTACGTAAAGAAAAATTCGCAGACCAAAATCTGTGCTAAAATGATTAAATTACCCTAACCGGATTCGAAACCGAGCATCGCATCCCAGACATGGTTATGGGTGTCATCAAAATAGCTGGAAGCAATGTAGCAATTGTTAAAGTTCATGTATTATCGCAATTATCCTATAAACAACACACACGCCGAGGATGAGCATCGCCAAAGAGGGGATATGTCCAAAAAATATAAATATCTTTATTTTATACGCACTAGGTATAGTCGTGGTTCGGTGGTTTATTTACTAAATTGCTAAAATGAAATTGGTACGTTGAATGATGTTATTTCATATAGAAGTTATATTGTTTGGTTATTACGAAATAATTTAATAGGGTTATAAAAAATGAATTTTCTATAAGTTATAGGTGTAAAGTGTTTTTCTTAAATTACTGATGATGCAATTAGGTAGGTACGCGTTTGAATTAATTGCATGTTATTTAATTTTCAGATAATTCTTGCATTGGCTGTTGCTGGAGTGTCTTGTGCACCTCAATCACTTGACCAGTCCAAAGAGCCTGTACCCATTGTGAGATATGAAAATGAAGGGGTGAATCACGACGGATCTTACTCTTGGAAGTAAGTTTTTCTTAATATACATAAAACCATTAGAACTTTTACATTTTTATCAAAAAGCAGTACGCACTGGGTAAATAAACCCCACTAAGTGCTATAATTTTGTCCAAAAATTGTTCTACAGAACACCCTAGTATATCCAGTAGTACTCGAAGTGCCTCCAGGTGGCCTCCTCCAGAGAATACCCAGAAAGCCCCAGAGGATATAGTATTTTTTGCAGAATATTAATTTTTATATTTTTACTTAGTTTCGAAACGGGAAACAACATTATAGCCCAAGAGCAAGGACAATTCAAACCCGGCGACAAGCCCGATGAAGGGGAATTGGACGTGAGGGGTTCCTATGAATACACCGATCCCGAAGGAAAGAAAGTCCAGATCACTTACATAGCGAATAAGGACGGTTTTCAACCGCAAGGCGATGTACTTCCCACACCTCCTCCCATCCCGCCGGCAATTCAGAGACTCCTGGAGTGGTTGGAGGCTCATCCAGAGGAGAACCAGGAGAACGACGTTAGCAAATAATGAGTATGGACGTTGAATGTATGGCAGTTTTTGTATATAAGTTGTAAATAATTTTTTTATACCTACTTACTGTGTATTTTATGAAGTTTTCAAATTAAATAAAAATTAACAATAAGTGACTATTTAGTATCTATGAAGATCCTACTTTCATGAAAAAACCAGTAATTAACTCCATAGACCATCAAAATTTGGTCTAGGAGCTCCAAAACTTTTGGACCAAAAGACGCTTTTGGACTACATCTAATTTATTAGTCAGTAAAATCGAATTAATCAAGTGGCTGACTGATTAAATAAGAAAAGACCATTTTAAAAAATGTCAAAGTCAAAAATAAGAGATAGGTTATGATATAAACTTCAAACTTTTGTTTTTGTATTTTATATTTTATTTAGCGGTGCAAATGTAAAATAACACACAAATGAGCGAATACGAAGATGATTTTAACAAAATCTACTTTTTCAAAAATCACGGCCAGTATTCCCTTCCCAACGAGGTGTTTGTGTCTCAAAAATGGTCCGTTCCCGAATTGCAAACTAGAAAACAGGAATTGAACAATGTGAAGGGATTGCTGGGGAAGTACGTTCTGAAAGAATGGTCCGACTTTACCTCTAAAAGGGACCGGGCCGGTCTCGTCATGCGAAAATTATCCGAGAAAATCAAACCGGAACTACTCACACAAGTAATTTTACTCGTGCAAACACCTTCCGAAAAGTAACAACTAGTTTTCCAGGCATGGTGCAAGTTTTACGAAATCCTGGCTCACTTTCCCATCATTCCTTTATGCGCTGTCGAAGACAAGAAACTGGAAAGCCTGCATCTCTGCGAAGCTCCCGGAGCCTTCGTCTCTGCTTTAAATCACTACTTACTATTGAATTATCCAGGTTTGAATGTTAGTTCATCGAAATGATACAATTAACACCGACGATTATTGAACAACTCAATACATTTACATATTTTTAGTGGTCTTGGAACGCTAATTCGCTCAACCCGAACTACGAGGGAAACGATCTGTGCGAGATGATACCCGACGATAGATTTATTAGACATACCTTGAGCAAATGGATCTTCGGCAGCGATTTTACCGGAGATATAACGAAATTTTATAATTACAAGTATCTCGTTGATTATAAAAAAGATAGCAAAGTAAGTCAAACGGCTTTATACAAATTTACTGTGGCTGCATGCAGGGACAGGTGGAGATCAAGGGAGGTGATAAATATAGTTCATCTGTCCCTGTAATGCATGTATTTAAATTAAATCTATTGAAATATTTCCTAAAATTTATTAGATATCATTAATAACAGCCGATGGTAGTGTGAACTGTATGAACGATCCAGGTGAACAAGAGAGATGTGTGGAAAGATTGCACTTTTGCGAGACTATAACAGCTCTAACTGTATTACAAACTGGTAAGTTATGCTTGTTTTTAATGCTAAAAAAATATTATTTAACTACGGATTACAGGTGGGACTTTTGTCTTGAAGATTTTCACCATGTTCGAAGAAAGTACCATCAACTTGCTGTTTCTTTTGAACAATATTTTTGAGAAAGTGGCGGTGTTTAAACCTTGCACGTCGAAAAGCGGGAATTCCGAAGTATATGTGATTAGTACAAAATATAAAGGATTCAACGCGATTAAAGAACTGTGGCCTATGTTGGTGTTGTCTTACGAAAATGCTGATATTTTTAACTCGAAATCGATGTTTTCAGTGAAGGATATTCCTCAGATGTTTTTAGATGAAATCATTAACTGTTCAGAATATTTTATGAACAAGCAAACTCATACTATTTTGAACAATATTCATAATTTCGAGCATCGAAACTACGATAACATTCAAATGGTTAAATCATTCATAGCTCAAATTTACATTTCAAGGTACGAGTTGAAACCTATTCCGGATGAGTTTAGGATCATTCCATATTTATCGGTATCTGAATGTAGACGAGTATACTCGACAAAAAAACCCAACAATTTTTACAAATTAAAAACAGAAAATATCATCAGAGATAGGGAATTGGGAAGCATATTACATATAGTTCAAGGCAAAGAAATTTGCACTGTGTACAATTCCAAATTTATCCACCAGGATAATTTAAAGAAATTAAAACTATTCGCAAACTTCACTCTCCCATCTTGTCTTTATCGGAATATTACAAAAATGTTGAGCCAAACTAACGCTATTATAAACGTAAACGATTTCGAATATCAATCATTTTCTAGTTTTCAAAAACAATTTTTCGAAAAGTTGTCCCTTGCATTCGACGATGGAAAAAATTTAATACTCATCAATATTCCGTTTGTAACACATTTTTTAGTCGGTTTGCTTTACATTTTGTTATTCTCATTCGATACAATTTTCATCGGTAACGGGATAATCTTCCTTTCCCAACCGAAAATATCTACCAAAAGCGAAGTTAAAGACATCTTCAGCAAAATTAATGAGACTTATCAGAATCTCGATAAAACTACAGGTTTTATCAATGATATCGTACAAATTGTTTCACCGATTTTATTTGAATACGGACGTTTTATCGATTGCATATGGAATTACAACAATCATATTTACTTCAAAGAAAAATGTTATGTTAGGCGATTAAAAATGTAGTTTTAATGTTAGGTGAGTAGCTGTAATGTAAATAACTTAAATGTAAGAAATTAAACACATTTGTATTACTTCAGGATTTTTATTATCAAATCTTTATTTAAAATAAAATTCATTACAAAACGTTTTACACTTCAATGTATGCTTATCCTAATTGATTAAAATAACACTCTTACAAACACGAAAATACAAATTGACAATTATTACATTAATGAAAACGATTACAGCAATAAAAGATACAAAAAAAACCGATTACAATTAAAAATCCTTGCACTAATTACACGTAATACGACTCGTTTTGGAGGTACTTGTCATTTAAACATCGAATGATGCCTTCTGTCAATCGTCTCGTCGGTAAATGTTCCAGTCAAACGTCATATGTTACTTGTTACATGTCATACCTCAAACGAGCCAACTACGCTTACTTAGGAACGTTTAAAGAAGTGCTGAACGATGGAGCAAAGGCGCTCGCTGTAGGCCTCCCTCAGCTCCCTCTTGGCCTCCGTGTTCGCGTCGAACTCCAGTTCCAGTTCTTCCTTCTCGAAGAGCAACACGTCCATGTAGAGGGAGGCCATCATGAAGCCGAACTTGGAGTATTTGTCCCAGTGCTCCCAGAGCGTTGACACCGGGAACACCTGGTCGACGTTGGTGCCGAGCTGGTCCATGAAATCGGTCAGCTCCTGGTGGTAGAACTCCATCAGACCCTCGAAATGGGGCACCTCGTTCTTCGATATGGCCGTGTACCAGAAATAGGACAGGTCCAGAATGGGGGAGTGCAGGCAGGATATTTGGAAGTCGATGATCTTCATATCGACGGGAGTCAGTTTGTTGTTATTCTGAAAAAAAACCATTGTTGTTATAAATGCTTTAGAAACGTATGAAAATATTGGTTACCTGATACTTGAAGAAGAAGTTGTTGTTGTGGCAATCGCAATGGGTGAGGACGCTTTCCTTCGGTTCCGCATCGTAGATATCCAAAAACAGCCTGCCGGCTCCGCCTTCCACCAGCTTCTGGTAGCTTTTGCTCAGCTGGTGCTCGCCGGCCGCCTCCAATCGCGTCAGAACCCTGCCGACGTAGCCGGCGTAGATGTCCTTCATCACGCCCACGCTGCTCCTGTAGATGTGCTGCGAATTGGCGGTGATTTTCTCGAAGACGTCGGACTTCTGGTCGCGCAGCGCGAACGACAGCGCGTGGAACTTGGCGAAGTTCCTCAGCCCCATCTTCAGGTGGTCGACGTTCAGCGGCACGGAGCCCTTGTGCATCTCGTAGCCGCGCTTCAGGAGGTTCTCCAGCACGATGACCTCGGAGTTCCGGTCGATGAAGGTGGCGTAGCATTTGGGGACGGCGTCGAAGGGTCGGGCGACTGCTTTCTCTTTCTGCAGGTCGTTGAAGGCCGGCAGGATTTCGTTGTAGAAGAGGATCTCGCGCCTGCAGGCGGCTTGGATGGGCATCAAACGCCTGGATTCGTAATCTTTCTTGCCCAATTTTACGGCGAGGTGGTGCTCGTTCTCGCCGACGACGACTTTGGTGAAGATCACGTCACCGACGTAGCCTCCGCTTCTGCTGAGCAAGGTGACGTCGCAGTCGCTGGTTTTGAAGATCTTTTCCATCCATGTTTGGATTTTTAGCATCTCGGGCTCCACCATCATCACGAGGCTTCGCTGGCCGGTTTGCCCGATGCGGCCCAATTTCCTGAGGTAGCTGCTAACCCCCAACATGATTTATTCTTACCTTTGCTTCGACTGAATGCAGAACAACGCAGAACTTTAGCTTGATGAACGCAGAACTTTAGCGAAAATGTCTGGTCGTAGCGACAAAGTCGGAACTGGAAAGGCTGAATACTCGATCGAATAGTCTTTTAATAGGTTTGTTTTGGTAGCAAAAATCGGTTATTTTACTTTTTTTTAAATGGTATCGACTGGTTCCTTATCAATTTCGATGAGAAATTTGCTGTTTATTTCGTTGAATTTTTGGATTTAAAATTATTTAAAATAAAATATACAGGTTATTTTAAAAAAAGGCGTATTATGACATGATGACCATCATAATATTTACCTATTATTGGCAAAGGAGAATTTTTTAACACATTTAAGTAATTAATTCACTGCAGTAGATAATAATAAAAAATTAAATAAACCTATATTTTTATGCTTATATGTATGTATGTATGTTTTAAAACTTTTTAATACACCCCTGCCCAAATAGAAGAAGTTCCAACGTTGCCATGGTAACGTTACAACACAATAACAACAAACTCCCGGTAGTTGGTAACAGTGAATTTTTCTTGTTTACGCTTATTGACGTGTGTTCCGTGACTTTGACAGGTGTTTGTGTACATACAAATAATTTGAAAAATCCTCATGCGATGGTGATATTATGATGGGTAACTGTTGCACCAGAAAGAAGAAACTGAACAGGTACCGGCGTGCTAAACGCAGGAAAATCGGCGCTAATTTTTCCGAAATTATTGCAGGAAAATCGTGTTGTTGCTAGTGGGATTGGATAACGCTGGTAAAACGAGGGCGGCGAATGGGCTGCTGGGCGAAACCACCACCACGCCGGTTCCCACTGTAGGATTCTCCGTGCTCAATTTGAAGTACCTGAACCATTCGGTCAAGATTTTCGATTTGGGCGGCGGGCCCAACATTCGAGGAATTTGGAACACTTATTTCGTGGACGTAAGTTTTCCCACGTGAATTCAATACATCCCTACTAAATTGAACTCTTCCACTACACCCAACTCTTCAAAGATCTCTACAATTACATGCTTTGATAGCCAAATTTACAGGGTGACAAAATTCCTCTTATTTGACCTACTACACCCATTTACAACCAATTTAAAGGTCGTCGGATCACCCTGTACAAAATTAAAATTTCCAGGCGCACGGGCTGATCTTCGTGATCGACTCCAGCGACTCGTCCAGATTCGACGAGGTGAAGGCCGTCTTCAAAGAGATCCTCTACAGCGACAAGATATCGGGCAAGCCGATCCTGATCCTGGCGAACAAGCAGGACGACGCGAACGCCGCCGACGAAATGGAGCTGATCGAATACCTGGACATCGAGCACCTGGTGAACGCCAGGAGATGCCCGACGTTGGTGCAGAGCTGCTCGGCCTCGGAGCAAACCCAATCCAAGCTGGATTTGGGCATACAGAAAGGCTACAATTGGATAATGGGCTACATCATCAAAAACTACGAGACCCTGAACGCCAGAGTGGAACGGGACGTCGAAGAGCAGCAAATAAAAGACCACGAGGAGCTGCTGGAGAAGATAAAGCGCATCAAAGAGCAGCACGCCGTGGAGGAGAGGAAACAAAAAGACGATAAAATAGAAACCTACTCGGAGTACGTGAAAAACATGAACGGTGGTAACTACGCGAAAGCCGAGGGATTCTCGCAAGAGGAAATCGCGCAAGCTCCATTCGAAGATTCCAGCAGCATCGGCAGCAGCACTTTATCCAAATCCACCGAGTCTTTTCCGCCAGTGTACATAACAAGCAACGAATTCGCCATCGTAGATCGGCCGAAAAGCGCCGTGGAATTGGTGAAGAACCAGCTGAAGTTGAGAGAGAACGTTCAAAAACCGCCGGCCAGACATCGAGCGAACAAAACGGCTCCCATTCATTTGTACGGGGCCAGGTTTCCCTATTCGGCGGACGAGCGCAGGAGGCGCCAGGAAAACTACGTCAGGAGGCACCTCAGGTCGGCGGATAACGCGCTGTTCACCATAAGCAAGCCCGTCATGGGGCCCAGCGGGGATTGCATCGAAATGGCGGTGTTCGAGAACGGTAAAATGACCGAGAGGAACGGGAAAGTGGACGTTCTCAGCATAATAGACATTTGATATTTCGTTTAAAATAAGTGTTAATACGGTGTAGGATTAAGTATTAAGAGGAATATTTGTATATAAAGCGTTAACTCTTTATTCACGTTTATTGAGGGGGTAAAAAACTTACTGGATTGGAATATTTTAAAGAGGTTGTTTGTTTAGTTGTTGAAATTATATTCTTAATTTCTATTAAGAATATACTTCGGATGGAGAAGTTTGGTTCTTAGACATTTTTTATACCTTGTGAAAATTTTTAATAAGTTTTAGGGACAATTTCTAAAATGGCAACACTGTCCACAGCTCCTCTTGCATTAACCAGTGACGTGCGAATTTATTTAGAACTCCCGAAACTTCCTCTTGCTAATTTTATTGATAATTTATTGTGTGGTTTGCGAAAACTTACACATAGTTTGGTCATTAAAATTAAGTGAAAAGTTAAATTCTTCCGTTTGGAAAACGTGCTGAAACTTCGGAAAAATATATCAGTCGAGTGTTTAAAGAAAATGAGAATAACACGGAAAGTTGTCAAGAAACTCTTTATTGTTAAATATGGCCTCAGATAGTGATGAAAATCCCTTGAATAAAATGTTATATTCGTATGTTTTATTAAATAAATCTAATTAATTGATCTATTATCTGTTATATTTACTAGCAATTTATTTTTATCAAAATCATACGCCAAACAAACAACAAAAAATAAAATATATTTTGATATTGTTTCAAGTGTTATGGAAATATCCGGATAAATAAATATAATCCATATTAAAGAAGTGTATAAAATAAAACGCAGAGAAGAGGTAAAAAAGGACTTTAATTATATGTTAGGTATTTGGTAACAAATCGCATGAAAATTAGTACCTGGTTAGATTAATAAAACAAACTTCACTAATACAATATTTCGAATTGATGCTATTTCATTATTAAATAATACTGAAGAGTTAAAAAAAATCGATAAAACTTACAATCTAATGTAACAATAAATAAGAGTTAAACAGTTTTACGTAAAAGTACCTACGTTAAATTTAACTATATCTAATATAAAAAAAGTTTATTCAATAAAGTATAACATTGTATAAAATTTATCTATTGCATCCTTGAATAATAATAAAATAATGTACAACTTAAGTACCTAATACCAAAACAGTGAAAAGCACTTTCTGACTAGTAAACAAATGAAACAGTACATGTTTGAAGTCAACTGATTTAGCGTTAATCCTACAATAAATGCAAAGATCTGTAAAAAAAAGGTTTGTAACAAAATGATTCAAACGAAAAATAATGGCACACAAAAGATTTAGAGAAACTGAGAGATGTGCAAACAAAAATAATCGCGATAACTTTGAGCAGTTTCAAAGGCCTCCTGTTTAAACGAAAGTTGCGTTACAAATGTATCAGCTCAGGTGCAATCGAGCTCGTTGTTACATCGTCTATGTCGTCATTTCTACCACAGCAATTCCCAGCAACCGTTCTAATTCTTCGATCTGAACGAGCTGAACCGGGTGGGCGGCAGCGCCGGATTGCTCTTAGTGGCGCTCGACGCCGTCGGTTTCATGAAGCTCATCGCCTGCGGTCTCGGCGGCCGATTTCCCGCGCTGTTCCCCACCGACGGGGTCCTCTTCAGGTTCGTTTTCAAAGGCGACGACATCGCCCTGCCGCTGGACGCCCTTTGGACCGGCCGCGATACGTTATTGCTAGTATTTGGCTTCAGAGGTAACTTTTTAACGGTGCTGGTCGAGGTCGCGCTGTTCAGCGAACTGCGGGAGCTTACTATCGAGTTTCTGAAAGAGATATTAACGATTTCGCAAAATATCTTATCAAATTGTGGGGAAGACTCAACGGAGCGAGCACCATCGGCTTACCTTGAATTAGATTTTTGGATGCCATAGATTTTGGAAGAACCGGAATTGCTCTTCGAATCGGCTTTACCGGAGCTTTCCCTCCTAGGTATAACGCTTTTCTTGTTCAAAACGCTATCCTGACTCGGCTTTCTTTGACTACTAATATTGCTCCTAGGAGTTTTAGACAGCGGCAAGGAATGCAATCTGGTGTTCCTCATCGGTGTGGACCGACTAAAACCACTGTTATACACAAATATTTCAGTTATTAATCCATTAACTGACCTGTAATTGGATAAGGTAACGTCGCTGCTGATGCTGGAATCGGGCGTTCCTTTGCCGCTCTCCAGGGACGCCTGTCTGATCGGTTTCGGCTTGGTGAAATCGGCCACGACTATCTGCGAGCTGTCGATGTCGTTGTCGAAGTTCCCGCCGCCGGAGGAGGCGCCTTGACTGGGAGATTCCGACATGAGGCTCTGGGTTTCCTCGAAGCCTTCGTCGTTGTCGTGTTCTTTGGTCTTGCGAGATGGTATGTCGATTTTGTTGGAAGTCGCCTTTACAACGAAGTTACAAGAAATTTCTGTTGGTTACTAGGTTAAATGTTTCGTTACCTTTATCGTTTCCGGCGCAATGTAGTTAGAAGAGTCTTTGCCTAATTGCAGAGCCATTTCGACGTCGCTTTGTTTGATGCCAGTTTGATTTCTCCATCGTCTTCCGTTCTTCGTCTCCGGTTCGAGTTGGGTTTTCAGTTTTTCTTGCCAAGCCTAGTAACTCGTTTATTATCTACTGCATACGTTGTTAACGACAACCTACCTTTAATCTAGTTTCTTTATCCAACGTGGGCTCGATGGAAACAGTGGGACGAGACACCTCGATTTGAGTGGGAGCTTTCAGGATTTGCGTTTCAGCTGCAACGGTTTCAGTTGGAGATGAGGTAGTTATTTCGGGATTTTCCTGGTTTCTCTTATACCGTCGAGTGCGCCTCGTCGCCGAGTATCTACAACCCCGTTGTTATTACAACACTTGTATTAAATTTACCACAAATTACTAATCACCTGTCGAACTGTCCATCGCCTAGCACCGGCCCATCTTCGGGCTCGTCTTGAGACGCCGGCACCATTGAGTTGCTGCTCCTGCCGATTCTCCTGCTGCAAAGCCCCGGCATCAGGGGCTCCCGTTTCTCCGCCGGCGTGGGCACGAAAGTCCTGCGAATGGCCGGCGGGGTTTCGATATTGTCCTGGTCGATTTCCACCTTGTTGTTGCTGGAATTGTCCGAAGCGCGCTGCGCCGATTCGGGCGAAGAGCGACGGGAATCCGTCTGACTAGTGGCAGTTGAAAGTGATGAAGGAGTGTCTGTGAACATTAATACTTTTATTATTTCATCTAGCGTCTGGTTGTTGAGTACTAACCGTTCGGTTTTCTGATGTACAAAGTGATCCTATCGGTGGGCATTCGTTCGCCTAAAGAACTGATCAACAGTTTGCGGTCCAACGCTTTGTCTTCGTCGATGGAATGCAGTGTTTTGTGCCGGCTCGCGTAAGGGTTATCCTTAGTAGCCTCCGTGCTGTTGGCCACGTTCAACGTGGACTTTCTCCACGCCGATTTGTCCTTGATCTGCGGCTGGATCTCCTCGACCGCCTCCATCGCCCCGACCACGTCGGTGCCCTCGATGGCGCTCGACGGCTGCCAGGCCGGATGGACCTTCCTGTAGCTCGACTGGCCGCCGCTGTACACCTGCTTGCCCTCGGGCAGCGTGTCCAGCGTGCCGCTCCTTTCGCTCTCCGAGTCCATCTCCAAGGACCTCCGGTTGGCCAATCGGCGGCTTCTCCTCTGCTCGTCGCTCAGCTGGTCGTTCTCGTTGGCTTGCAGCCACGATTCGATTTTCTGCCGCCATTCCTTCGGCTTGGTCTCCTCCTCGGGAGCGGGCACGATGGGTTTGTGCTCGGATAGCGGCGATGGTGAGGATGGCCTTTCCCTGTCGCTGGAGAAATCGGCTGTTAATAGAGCCGGTCGTTTCCTCGGGCCGCTGCCTCTTGCTTTCCTCGCCCACGAACGATCTAAACCACAAACCTCTATTAATCTCTAACTAATTAAATGATTTATAAACATACCTAAACTACCCCATGATCTTCGTTCCCTGTTGTTGTCTCCTCCGGAGGCTCGTAGGAAGTCCATCAAGTTCCCTTCGTCGTCTTCGGATAAAACTCTGCTTCTTCTTCTTCTCAAGCTACCGTTGGGTGTAATGTCGGGGGATTTCTCTTCTTTGCCACCCATGGGGTTATCTCCGTTATTGAAGGAGCCTAATCGACGCCTGGAGAACGATGGGGAACCGGACAAGGAAATTTCGTCTTCCGAGCCGTTTTTCCGGCCTTTCTTCGAGTAGAACGATCCCCTTGTGTCGTAGATTTGCATGTCGATGCAGAAACCGTCCGAGTCCGGAGTGCCCGCTAAATTTTCCACTAAAAACGTAGTATTACGAATATACGATCAATAAATGAGCAAAAGAAACTTGTTTACTTTGCCTCCGTTTCGTCGCCAAGAGTTCTTCGCGCTGGCGCCTCCTTTCGTTCGCTTGTTCCTCTTGCAATTTTCTTCTCTCGTTTTCCAACGCGGCTTGTTTGAACTTGCAATAGAACCCGTGGAATATCCTGAAGCACTCTTCCAGTTTGAAGGTGTTGATGTCTTCGCAGAAGAACTCCGCTAATTTTTTGCGAACCAGTTCCAATTCTCCCATGCTCCTTTGCAGGCTCGTTACCTCTCTTTCAGCGATCTAATAATATTTTAAAAGTGTAGGGTGAGTACCGATGGAGTTTAAAATGTAACGAGTGTGTGTAGTACCTGCAGAAAGTCCGTCATTTGGGCTTTAATTTCGGGCTCAGTCGTGGGAGTTTCGATTTGCTTTCGGATTTTGTTGATTCGTATATCTAGCGCGTTGATTTCGTTTTGTAGTTGCTCAACGGTCGTTCTGTAATAAAAAAAGAATTGTAATTTCTCGGTATATTTGCTCGGTTTATTACTCACTTAGCGGCGTCTTCCAGCACGCCGATGTTATCAGTAAACGAAAGCAGCTTCCTATCTTTCTTCTCCGCTTGCTGGGGAAAAAATAGAACGTATACATGTAATAATTTATTTGTAGAATAGTTATTTGCATTGACTTACTAGGGCTACGAAATGTATGAGATTCATATTTGGTTTATTAGCTCTGATGTCGGTTATTTTTTGTAAGGATGTTAGCTTTACGCCGGCTGCGTCTCCTGCGTATCCACCCTGAAATGATTAAATTCGTTGAAATGTTTTATTGTTTCGAATTTTGTAAATTATTTACCGCGTTTAAAAAATTTCCTGTTATTAGAATCATGTACAGCACTTCTTGTAAAGGTTTGTTCGTCATTAAATCTGGAAATTAACAAAATTATTAATAGAAAAATGTGAGTAAATATAGATTTACCTTGTGCTGCGATGATCATTGAGTTAATGCTTGGTTCCAAGTAGCTCATATTCGAGGTGAATTCTTCTTTTAATAGCATACTTTCTATTCGTAATTTATAGCTAAAAAAGAATTTTTGATAAACTCCGCAAAACAGCAATATGAAATTATCGAATAACACTCACTTCGATAGATTGGTTAGTTGTATTAGGAATTTTTCGGCATTGCCCAGTTTGTTATAATTCCCGTTAAATGATTTTAGCATATCTAATTCGTCTACTTCGGGCAACAGTTTTAACAGGCCCCTCAGTTTCTCCGATCCGATGTCGTCGTGTTCGCCGTTTTTGATCAATTGTACTATATCTTCGTTGGAGCTGCGAGAAATAAATAAATTGCACGAGAAACATTTAAATAATGGCCCAAGGAATCCCAATTATTTAGTTTAGGAGGGCCCAATTATTTAGTAAATTACCTTCTGAATTGCTTTAAAAATATGTTGACGTTCAGGCTTCTTTTTCCATCCAATAATGTTATCTAAAAAAGATAAAAAATAAGCCTATATACCTCATCAGCAAATGCTATTGAAAAATCCTCAAATCCCAAGCACAATTTGTAGGTTTAGTAATCAATATTAGCATTTACCTCTGTATTATCCTTCCGCATTCGCCTCTCCAGGTTATCCGAAGAATCCCTATGGCCTAATTTAGGAGAAGAATGCGCAGATGGCGGAGCTTGCTGGCAAAACAGCCCCTCCATTTCCGACCAATCCATGTCAGTCATGGGGGAATGTTGATGAGAGTACGCCACTTGAGTCCATATATTATTCGTACCTACTACCTACATAACAAAAAATAATCTTCCAGTGTATTTCAGCGAGTTGGTAGAACTTACTTTATTGTTGGGGATCTTGTTCCAGTTGATGGTTTTCATTTTCGTCTTCGGCGCGGGGATTTCCTGTTGCGGTAATTTTTCTATCACACTGTCGGTTTCCATTTGAGAGGAAATTTGCGTTTTGGTTTTCAGCTGCAACGGGGGAGGCGCGGGCGCCGGGGGCGGCGCGCAAGGGGGGTTCGGAATAGAAGGCGGCGGTGGAGGCGGAGGAGGCAAAGGCGATCCTGCGAATTAAAAACACAACAATATTTGCAATATAATAGATGTAAATGGTGTACCTATTAGTGGTGGAGGAGGAGGCGGTCCGGGCGCAGGCGGTGGAGGACTCAACGGGCCCGTCAAGCTCTGTCTTCTGCTGGAGTTGTCTATTCGAAGTTGGCAGTGGCAGAAGAGTTTCGATTGGGTGCTCGGGGTTCTGAGCAACCGCGCTGAATCCTCCCGGTTTTCCAGCAGAGTAGCGCGGTGCACCAGCCGCTCGGCGGTGTCCCAGATGATGTCCGAAACGGGCTCTTTGGGATCGATGCGCAGCAAGTGCTGCAATATGCTCAGGAACGGGATTTCCTGCGGAGTTTCGGCTACCTAATCCGACGCGTTGGAATTAGTTTTCGGGGGATTTTAGGCTACTTGCGGGGCACTACCTGCTTGAGTATCGCGTAGAAAACGTCCAAAGGGGAGTTGAGATCGACGCCGTGAGGGCCTTGGAGACTTTGGGAATCGTCGTTTTCTCGTTGCTCGTCGAAAACGTCCAGCTGGACGGCCAGCTCGGGCTCGGCTTCTGCACATTTCCTGATGGAAAATTTAGTTTCATGTAAAACAAATACAAACCAATCCTTCTACCCCTACTCTAACCGCTTTAAGTCTATAATCTCTGCAGAAATCACTTGAATTTGTGTTTCAATCGATTACTGTTAACATATCTTCTTCGTAAACACCTTCAGATCTTATCAATACTTTGCAAACATAGCACCGTTTTTCATCCAAATTGCCCAACATCTTATGTGTACCCGACACTTACCTAACGCAAATTTGTTCAAGTGAAACTATTTCTGTTATTGACCAAACTAACGTCGCTATGTGTCTAGGAGATAATCTAGTAATTTAAAGTATTTCCTCGCGTATACGTACCTGAGATTATTCAGCACCGGAAGTAGATGACATCCTGCAAAGCAAACAGAACAACTGTGAATGTATAATCAGTTTAATATTGGAAATGCCGCTGTACGAACGAGGAAATGCACTCGTGAATTTGCGATGAGTAATTGTTAGACATGTAGAATATTGAGAATGAAAGTTTATTTATTCCTTATTTACTCGGAAAATACTGAGCCTTATTAAAAAAAAACTATTAATACTGTGGAAGAACTATTTAAAGTTACATGTATAAATGAATGTTTGAAACCCCTGCGAGGGTAATTCGGTATTTACAAAATACAATCATAAGATTAATAATAAATGTCATCCAACGACTTAGCTCGGATTTACTGAACTTTTCCTTTTTATTGATCACTTTCGGTTTGTATGTCAAGTTAAAATCGTGTGCGAAACTAAGCGTACATCACCGAATTATGCAAGAGAAATTATTCGAATACCAGCCGGTGGGATATTTAAATTTTTCACGCGATAATCGAATTTCATAGTCTTCAATCACGGGACGATTTTTCTTAACCGGGTTAAATTCGCAATAACGGCGACGCAAACGACCTATCGCTTGAGCGAAATTAACGCATTATGCGAGAATTTACCGAAATATTTTGGTTTTTTTTTGGCGATTTCAAGGTTGATATGTAGGCACAACTGCCATAATTTATATGTGTTATTGTGTTATACGAGTAGCTGAAGTTTACATAATTATTTACATATTCTTTTGGTACGCATAAGTATTGGGTTTTTGATTTTTTGGCTGGTCTTACCTATGAATTCGTTCCTTAACCTAGTTCTGTCGTTGAGCCTTTGGGTGGAGATGATCAGGCAATTGATGAAAGCTACCAGGGCGGTTTGATAGTCCACGGCTGTGGCTCGGTCGAGTTCCTGGACTACCACGTTCAGTCTGTATCTCTCGCCTTTTAATTTCTGAAACACCAAAACCAAATGTCCTCTTTACTTCTAGTTCGCAACAAATTTTTATTCAGCGCGCCTTTGATCGATATAACAGCAATCCATGGTAATATTGTACAAACATATACAGCAGTATCTAGGTTAAGACGTTTGTCGAAAAAGGCGAAAATCGATTATTTCAATTCACTGCAAACAGGCCGGTAAATACGAAGGTTGTTTTCATTTTTAAAATGGATAAAAAAAGATCAATAGAGTTAATTAGTCAATAAATTTCATACGCTAAATCTAAAACACGCTGAATAGGGATTTTCACTATTTTACAAAATATAAATTAAATAGGAAGATTCTCATAAATATACTGCTCCACGAAAATTAAAGAAGTTCACAAATATTGAGATTAATTTAAAAGATCGCCAAATTGAGTATGAGTTGTAGAGGAAGGGGCAAAAAATCCACTCAAATATGAGAGAAAACATTTAATTTCGCATATTTGAAAATTTGGTGATCAAAAAGTCTAACTTTTAAAATAATCGCAAAATTAGCGAACTTCCTTAACTTTTGTGGAGCAGTTTATAAATTAAATAGGAAGATTCTCATAAATGTCTTACATAAACCATATATAAATAATAAATAAAGGATAATAACTGAGGAAACTTCTGGTAATTAGTTAGCATTAAATGGAATCAATATTCACCTTAAAATGATCTAGAGTATCGAGTGCCCTGGATCGTCCCTCTTCGTTGTGAACGCAAAGCGCGGATAGAAGTTCGAACACTTGCTTCTTTACAGTTGTATTTTGCGTGTCCAGGGCCGCTGCCAGTTTCCTAATGTAGTCGGGATTCTCGACGATGAAGTCCAGGCCTATCCTGGACGAATCCATGTCGAGACCTGTTCTACTGATCGCCTGGAAATAAGGAATGAAAGGCGTTTTATAAGAGATTCTTAGAATACCTTCTACTCAGTTCTAAAATTTTTGGTATTTACTGTAGAAAGAACGTAAGTATGTATGATATAAGTGAATTGAAAATGAAATTGTTATACAGGATGTTTTATAATGATATTTCAATATTAATATCTACCCAAATTTTGTCTTCTCTCTGTCTTTTATAAAGCCTTAATTTCTTGTCTTGGAGACTTTAATAAATAAATAAATATGTAGTTTATTTAAATTTGGCAGTTTTTGTGCCAACTGAAAATTTGATTGACCTATTAAGGACGTAAAAAACCGTCTTCATTTATTCAGCATTTATCGCATTAATTTTCAATTCACTCCGTTAACATTGGATTAAATCGAACGATCCAAAAAAAGTCTAACGCAATAAAATGTAATGGTCGTTTCGTTTCAAAGTCGCCATTCGAACGATTAAGTTATTCGACGTGCTCGACGTGAACACGGCGAAAAACACCGGTTCTGTTTGTTGATTTAAAACATTCCCGCTTATGCAATAAGTGCACCTATCGAGCGAAATATCTCTAAAGACTCTCTGCTTGAGCATTCGCCGGGCCGACGTTTCTTCTTGAAATTCAAATCGTCGGAAATCCACTTCTGCTTCTGCATCGCTCCTTCGCTTGCATTCTAAATGTAAAACGGTGTAGGTTGATTTGCTCCGATAAATTCTGCTTTTGTCTCATATGGGAAATTGCAGGTTGAAACTTTATTCACCTGCGAAAACTTAGCAACCCACCATCAAAAAAAAATCACACAATGCTATTTTAGGGCTAATTTAGTGCCCTTTTACTAATTTTAGTGCTCTAACGGTTGAGCGGAAAATCGCCATTAAATACAGATATATGGAAACTGGATTTTGAACTGTAAATCTTTGTCAAAATCGTTTCTCTATCTCTAAATTTGTATTTATTTTTTATGGAGGGAGTGCTAAATTCACATTTACTACTTTATTCTACTGATGCACAAATTCTACGAATTGAAGACTCGTTTAATTAATGAATCTTTGAAGGATAATTTGAATCACAAAATTACCAATTTATTAAACAGTCACTTAATGCACTCAGTATTTATTAAGTTACCAGCCAATTAAGTATCTTCAGTAGGTATTTTTGTTTTTTGTACTTACATCGTTGCCTTGTAAAGAATAACCAATTTCAAGTTACGGTTATCAAAAACGCATCAGTTGCTTACGAAGGTATCATTAATATTGATTCCATCGAGCGCAAATTATAGTTATCTTTTCTAATTTAATTTACCTTGTATGGGATTGATTCGATAAATCAATCGGCTAGCTCTTTTGCGACTAATCCGCAATCAAGTAGCTATTTTTACACTTGAAATAATGGCAATTTTACAATAATAACATTATTTATAACCAGCTACAATGTCTGCACACGCCTATATGATTTATTTTTCCACTTAAATCTTCGATAAAATAGGTTCTAACGATTTTCTAATGACGAATTCGATCATTTCGCGATAATAACTCGGCAAACATATAGATCAAATTTGCATTTTTGCCGCGTAATCGGTCAGAGGAAAATGTCAACCGATTGTTACCTGTCAATATTTATCGACAGTAAATAAATAAATGCCTTGATTAAACGTTACCTTTTCAAAGTTTCTTTATTAGCGTATCTATCTTAACGCACATCGAAAAAACCTCCGTGACTGGCAGAAAACGAATACGCAATAAAACGTCGCTAATAGGACTATAATAAAGTTATAATACGAATATTTAATAAGGAAGTTTTATATAGCTCAAATTATAGTTTAGTTTTACAGTATTTTTGGGGTCTATCAACCTATTTTTAACACCCCAAAAACCATTTTTCATTGCTATTTTTTTATGATTGAATAAGATCACTTAAGTGCATCGTAAATAATATTTTAAGCATTCTTCTGTCGGTTATGAGAAATTGTGTCAAAAATATCTCGAATCGATAGTAGAATGATTAGGTAACAGAATCTAATTAATTACTCAACAATAGTACTTAAATTATATAACTGATTAGTTACACAAAAATTGAATTAATTTCCAATCTAGTTATTTATGGATAATTAGCATATTTTCTTCATCGGGCTGTTCAATAAGTTACATCTTATTTTCTTTCCTTAGTAAGTCCTTTATCGTTATCTTAATCGAGAAATCGCTTCTCTAGTTATTCCAGCTATTTCTCTATTAGGAGCAGATAGTTTATTCTCCAGTTTGATCCGCTGTAGATAAGTGCAAATAAATCCGTGTCACTCATCTACATATATCCATATTATCGATTCGTGTAGCAAACATGTTTTATTGGTATTTGTAAATTGCTTTACATATATTTCAATAATTAATATTCCCATGTGGGCGTGATACAGTGGAGTGCAAAATCCGCTCGGAACGCCTTAATTGTACGATATAACAGAGAAATCTCATTATCATGTGTATTTTAGGATATTTTGCTGAAGTAATAAAATAGCCAATCAATAACATTGTGTTATAAATACCCAGAATTGGATGCATTTTATGTAATGTATAATTATTTAGTAAATGGTCGTTATAACAAGAGAAAATCATATTAGGAAGTCCGTTAACAAAATGTTTACAACTAACAGGTTTATTTGAATATCAACGTAAATACTTAGTAGCAAAAGACAGTGTGAATTTAAGAGATTAAATAAGAAAAACCGTTTATTTAAACCATGTGGTTGATTAAAAGATTTATCAAGAAAATTAGAAAACTGTAGAAGATAAGCTGCAGCTTTATAGCAAATTATTGCATGAAAATATGGAAGCAAGTAACAGTACCTTGCTACTGTTTGATGTTAGACTAAAAATTAGATTCGTACGTCAATATTTGAATAAAGTCGAGTACAGTTTAAAGTAAATAATTATGAAGAACGCGAGTCGAGTGTGATTTTTCTCGTTTCGAAATCGATTGTGGCGGACACATCTCGGTTTCGATTAGTACTGCTTGTGACTAATTTGAGTAACATTAGCCGCTACCTTGACACTTTTTGGGTAAATAAATAAACTTCGCCACAGTCAGTTAAGCGTTTTGTTTGTTCAATCACTGCGATTTTATTGTAAATCGAGGGTAAACTCGACAATTAGAAATCGCCTGTTATAAAATCAGTACCAATCCACTGATTTTTCCAACCTCTTTGCAAGAACACAAGATAAAGAAGGAATAAAGATAACCGACACAAAGTTTATTAGCAATTTAAATTAACATTCAAACAAAATCTAAATTGAATAAAACGACAATGTGTATACTCCGGTTACAATATTATTCGAATTCTAAGAAAACGATAGATACTAAGTCGCTTTAACTACACGAGTGAATTTTAATTTTCAGTTAAAAACTCCGTGTTTTATTCCAGCGTAGAAGTTCGTTAGTATAGGAAACTGGTCATTAAAAATGATTAATTTCCATTTTGTCATTTCTCCATCAATCATTCCGTAAATTTTACTGTTTGTATGATATTTTCCTGTTGTTTAATCCGCCCATTTTTCATCCAAACCAGATACACCTCTTATTATGTCAATTTTACCTCTTGATCGTTCATTATTGACCATCTTCACAGTAACTCCTGCCACAAAACACGTCCCATTACATTAATTTACTCAAATCCATCATGTAGTTACACAATTCCTCGAATAAAAGCAGCGTTTGATTACAGTTGACTGGTCTAATGCTCGTTTTGTAAGCGTATGTTATATTATGTATGTTTGTATTTTGCGTTCTCTAAACATGATTGTGTTTCCAGTTCGCCTACTTTGTTTTCTATAAATGCAAACGGGCAAAGACGAATATTCGATCTACAGGGTGAGTCATCTCGACTGCCTACCTGCCGGTGCTTAGCAGGTGATGAGTAATTTCGCCAACAGGAATAGAGATAACTAGATTTGGATAGATGGATGTCGTTTCCGGTAATTTCCTTCGGATTTATAGAGTCGTTTCGAGTTTATCTAGTCGATATTTATTGGGTGTACACGGTGTAGAGAATTCGTTTCCGATTGACTCATTGTACGTGGCGATTCCAACGGCTAAACGGAGGAATATTCAAATCGATGCGATAAAAATTATGATTAAGATTGTAATTAATTAAAAAGCGGGTCAGTCTCGACAGATAAAACTGCCCGAACGATTCGTTAACTTTGTTTAACCTTTATGAAATATGCGAAAATTAATGTATGGTAATGGTGTATAAATAAACACAAGAATGCAATCGATAATAATTTGCAACTTTTCTCTACCACGTCCTTTTTATCGTCAATTACTCGTTCGTTATTTTTTACACTTTTCCCAAGGATTATCCAGCTCATTTTCTTATCTGCACTCTTCGCGTCGTCGTCCAGCTGGGAATCGCCTCTAATTATTTAGCTAAGTTGAGGTTGTTATTGCCTATTCAAAAAAGCTGTTTGACCATATTAGTTGCAAATGGGAAATATGACTAACTTTTTCAAGATTACTTTTTGTAGCACATGGACGTATATCGCAATTTTTTTACTTCTCAGTTACAAAGAGCAATTTAATCAGTTAATAGGCCTAGTTAGTAGGCGTTGTATGCGAGTTGAGTATTCTAGTTTTTCTGCGACAGGAAATAAAATGTAATATTGCAATTTTTTGTACCAAAATAATGTATCTCAGAGTAGTAAGAAAAGTAAAGAATTAGATTGAACAGGTTATGAAACAAGGTATAATAAATAATATCTAACTAATCAATTAATTAGTATTAGCATTATTAGCAGTATTAGCAGTATTAGCAGTATTAGCAGTATTAGCAGTATTAGCAGTATTAGCATTGTTTCTAAAATGAAAAACCTGTAGCTGTGCAGTAGATGTGTTTATAATTTTAAATTATCTACAGTCATTGGTTAGTTTTGTGGTCAAGCGCCCAATTGGGACAAACTTATGATTAAAAAGCAGTAGCACTTACCGTTGGTGCTCCTTACATTATACGATCGAGGGGGTCTGAAACAGAAGGAAAAAAAGGCGAGTTCAATGGCCTGTCAGTAGGTAACAGTTATTAATATTATTATAAATGGAGTAGCATCCTGTTTAAAAACCCATATCAGCTGCACATAACGCATAAAACAATGCTATCCCAAAAAAGGAAACATTAAGGAAGTCAGAATACATTGTTAAATTGGTTGGTTGCTCGGTCAGACGTACACCGCGATAAAGGATGACCAGAATTAGAATTCTATCCGCAGGTAAGTGGGCGGATTTTGCCTTTTACGGTATAACCGGAAGGTGCTTCACTCCAACTTTTCAAGACTGATGTAAATACAACCCAAGTAATAAAACAGTAATAACGCAAAACACATTAATTATACCAAAGGTTACTGATCGTATTTTTACCACAAACGTTGATATATGCGTTCTTCTTTGCGTTTCGATCTAGTATTCAAATCCTTTTAACACCATAATTGGTAACGGAAATCTGATGCAGTTAACGCATTAAATTTTAACGGCTACTGTTGGTAGCTGTTTATTTTTTCAATCAATTTCAACAGTAATTGGTTTTTTTATTGGAGCATCAAGTACTCTTTTATGTGCGTTTACTTCGCACGTTAAATACTCGGAAATCACCAGCGAAATTAAACTGTGGATTACCACTGACATACGCATAGTAGGATATTACTTTAACCCATAATACAATATAAGCAGAACACAAATCAGGCTACTTTTGTAGAAGATCTTGATAGATTGCTTGAAGCTCAGGCTTTACACAACAGGCTCTAAATGGTGGAACTCAGGGAGGTTTTCTTTTAACAATATAGTGCTTAAATTGTAAGGAAACTATTTAGCTGTATAGATCTAAGAGGAAATAGAGTTATTTTCATACAAGAATCCAGTATTGCCATTGTGTCTTCTTAGAATTTGACACAATAAAAACAGAGTTTATTTTTATGGCGATCATTATCACTATGCCCCAAATAATTACCAGAAAAATTGTTTGTCGAGGATAATAAAATTTCACTTTTGTAAACAGCAATAAATTAAGATTGCGAGCAAACAAACACGATTCTTGTTATCCTTTCTTCTGCGAAATCGCCTAATTTTCGGCGCCACCACTGACATTTCACATAAGTTTTACGGATTTTTATGGATACGAGCGATAGTTCCCGACCGTGAAAAAATTAATTTCGAATAAAAGGCGCCCACATTAACGTCGAAAATGGCGAACGAATGTCAATCGCCTCAATTTTATCAATCGCGTTACAAATAGAGTGGATTTTATAAAAAAAGAATGGGTTTTTGGACCTCCCTAACGGCTGTTTATGTCAATTTCTCTAAATGTAACAATTTACTTATCGAAAATTGTGATAATTTAGTGAAACAGTGGGTGGAATAATGGAGAAGTGGTAAACTTTGCTCCGTTATTAACGTCATTTTTAAAGCACAATTACTCGTTTTCGTTTGATTAATCTTCGCAATAAACATTTGGAGATATAACAACCGCTTAACATTCGCGCGTTTAATTATCCTACTGTCAACAAATCGACGATTAAAACAACAATTAAACACATGTAAGTGAGTACCTGCATCATCAATTACCATTTCGGATTGTCGCAATCGCCGGGCTCGTCCTTACAGAAGGTCGCATTATGAAAAATTAATTGTCAACGTTTTGCAAATTTAACTTTCTCCTCATACTTTGTACGCTCGAATTTATCCGTTTGTCTAGTTCGTGGAATTAAATTAAATATCGATTACGCCGTTTCGAAGTTTATGGTGGATGCTTTTAATTTCCTTGGGAATAAATCTCGATGATCTATCGGTAAAACGTTCGATGCTATTTTACAACAATTTTACTTTCCTATCTTCTACAGGAGTATGAAGACTGCATTTGCAGAAAAGAGAGTGGAATTTTTGGAAATATATACTAGTTTGTTTGTAAACTCTTCTTTATGAACAGTACCTATTTTTAATTTAAATAAGAACAATTCATCAATACCATAAATCAAGGGAGAAAGATAAGAGATAACGCGCCGGGTAATTGCGAAGGTAATTGCGCTAATTTCGCGCTAATTGATTTCGAAGTCCGTTACGTGCGTAAACGTGATTAGCCGATTGTGCGACCATGTCGAACGACGGTGATCGCTTGAATTGCGATTGTGGAAATTAATTCCAAATTTGGAGGAATTAGTCCAAGGCGGTGAAGTAACGAAGACGGCCATATGTAAGGTTGGCGCCTTCTTGTACAGTTCTACAGTGGAATTGCGCTCTATACAGCATCCGATCCGATTCACCGACCGATCCGATGCGATAAAACTGGATTGGACGCTGGGCAATTACTTTACGAGGGACGGACGATTTGTTATTTGCTACAATCCACAGAGCATCTATAAGTATTAATATAAGAGTAATTTAGTAGCGAATTCTAATAGTAAACGTTCGCTGTTTGCTGTAATTATTGTGACAAGTATCAGTGGAAAATAAAATGCACGACGGATTCATCAATACAATCATTAGCATGTTGTATGTTGCAAGAATATCCAATCGAGTCACGTAGATGAAACGATTCAAATTATGAACAAAATCGCTTTGAAGGACGAAGCAATCGCTTATAATATTTTCATCGTTGGTTACTATTTACCGATTATAATAATTTAATTTCATCTAGCTGATCCTAAATAAATAATCTGGTAATTAAAGTATGAATCGCTTAGTTGATTCCTTTATTAATGCGGCGCATTGATTGGATATTCATTAATAAAACTAACGAGATCAATTTCGTCTAATCACGAAAACAATTTGCATTTTGAAATGGAGAAGGAAGTGGTAAATTTTGGCTCATTTTATATATGAAATATTTATCACTTCACCATTGTATGTAGCAATCATTACCATGTAGTGTTCATTTCAACAACCAATTCATCGAATGAAGTGTGTATAAATCACCGGTTTTTATTTCAGTATAGAAAAGACACTACCTTATTGAATTTTCCGAATATGGAAACTAATTTTAAATGAAATTATTATCGAATTAATTCGCGAAGGTCAAGTTTCATAATTAAACCGGCTATTAAATTAAATGCATTTAATGGGAGGCGGAGCATTTTTACTAGCCATATTATACCGACTTTTTAGAATCCTTATAACTTATTTTAAAACCCCATACATCTATTAAATATTCGATAGAGATTCTTGAAAATTTGGAAAATTTCTGCTATAAGTAGGTACTTTCAACATTGTCCTTTTATCACAACAGTTCTTCGTGTTTTTCAATCGTGCAGTAGGTACTGTGAATATTTTATATTATAAATGTAGCTAATATTTATGATCAACGCAAATATATTTCATAAATATCGGAATAAATCATGAGCATGCGAAGTAGCAGGATATTATAAAATATTGCGATTCGTGAAATTTCAATATTCTTCCTGTAGCTTTTAAATTGATTTATTTTCATCGGCTATTTTAGCTAATAGATTAAAACACAAAAGAAATTATGTCGGAATATTTATGTAGCTATTTTTAAATATGCTAATTAAAGCTCCTTATTCGACGAATAGCCGTTACAATTTTAATCGTTCATTAATTATGATTTTGCGTTTTTAGTTAAGTAGCTTACCGAATATAAAAAAAATATAAATTAGTTGGTTTATTTATAGGATAATTGGGACCATAAAAGTTTTTTCCTCCAGTCCAAAATCTCATTGTAAAGATTTCTATTTCATCCTTTGTTCCTATAAATATTGAATTAACTCACTAATTAATCAATTAAAAGTACATACCCAATGAATTATTGAATTAATTTATGTATAAATACTAATAGTTAATAGATATTATTTTATTGTAAAATGAATTTGTTGTCATATATAAGTCAGGAAGCCAATGTTTGTTGTAATTGCTCCATGCACTTTTTATCGATAATGTAATTAATTTATGGTACTTGATTAGTTATTTATACACGATGCCAATTAACTCCACTGCACACATATAGAAAAAAAACTATTTGAAATAAATAAGTATACCGGAAACTAATGAGTAATGAAAGATGTAATGTAGGATGTAGAAAATCTTTCTGATTCTCCTTGTAGGTAACCTTTTTCAATACACGAAACTATAAAAAAAATCAAAACCTCCAGCGTGGGTTGGCGTCCGTAACATAATATATTGCTTTTGTGTATAGAAAATATCCAATATATTATATTTTTTTGTAACATTAGAAAACTAATTTTTAATATGATTAAATACTAATTTACTACCTACAGATAAAAATTACTTATCAAAATCCGACGATTTTGGTCACGTTCACCAACTAATTGATGTAGCAAAATTGTAAATTATTGTTTTGTTGTACAGGATGATTCAAAATTCGCACATTTAATATCCATTTAGTTTCTATTCCAGTTTAAGCAAAAGGGCTTTCAAGAATGCAAGAATTTGAGCTCCCTTAGAATGTTCCACTTCTAGTTGACTATCCACTACTTCCCCACTGGCCTATATTTTATTGATTATTCCCATGAAATATGCAAATGGTTCGTTGTACTCCTGCATAGAAAACCAATTTTCCAGATCGATATCACAACAACACCGCTATTATTGTACAAATTACAAAATCGCTCGTTCGTCACGCAGTAATGCAGGCGCATTGGCATTAATCCGTACAACTAATTTCATCTGAACCTTAATCACGTACAATTAATAAATTATAATCGTCCGCTCGTCGGACAGATTATTACAGAATCATCGTTGCCGAGTTGTCGCTCGCCGTGATTGATGTGTAGGATTCGAGCCGGTCGCATTTCGAAAAGAAATGTCACGGCTAGGTGGCCACGCTGCCCGCCAATCCATGAAATGTTCTCTTTAGTACCCACCAGAGTCGATTTCATCGGCGGCGATTGTACCAGGAAACAATGACAATGTCCTCAAAGGTGTCTCAATAATGCAATCTTCCCAGCAAAAAATATTCCTGTGCTATTCAAACCTAGCATTATATTTAGCTCGTTAGAGTATTG